CAGGACTAACTCCCTGAGAGAAAAAAGCACCAGTTCAGCGGTAACTTTTTGCTTGACATGCAACTTAGTCGATAGCAGGCGTATGCGTGGCGAAATAGTGTCATCTGTCAGGTCAGCTGCGTCGTCTTTTCGGCAGGCTCGTGTGGCTGGCGCTGTGAATGAGCGCCGGTGCCTATCGAATGTTGACCACTCTATCCCTGTGGACAGACGCGCGAAAGACAGCACAGCTCGGCCTCGCTTTGGCACTCCCTTACGCCGCCACAGCCCACCCGGTCGGTGCCATGGGGATTTGGTGACGCTTCGTCCACACTTGCTCTCAGCTCATCAGCAAATTCCAGGTCTACCACCACCCCAAAGCTCTGTCGTATTGTCACCACAGCAAATCCAGTGGTCAGTCGTTGGGTATTCTTACGAGAGTCTCAAAGTCGAACCAGCTGGCCGAGGCAGAACGCCGGCCTGTCCAGTCAGCCGATGAAGAGGCGTCACACTGTTTCTTGCCGTACGGCCAATCGGAGCCTGGATAATTCAGACGGATGGCCTGAGGGTTGAACTCCAACGAGGCCCGAGATGTGAGATCTGTGCCCCACAGGACTAATCGTGAGCCTCCCCTGGTGCCAGCGCACGCCCCCTCTCGACTCAGGCCACCAAGCTCATGTTCCTTTTGCTGCGTTTCTAGAAGCCCTTAGTGGGGGTCCTATACTACGAATTTCGATGATGGCTTTATGGGCAAACCGGTACTTTCCGTTCATAAAATCGATGTTGTCAAGAAAGCTGTTGCAAGATGCAACTAGCAAGCCGTCAAGGGATATCTGTCGAGTAAAGGTATGTAAGGGATTGGCAAGCGGGCTCAGCCTCTCATCACCCGTGCGGGCCGTCGACATTACTGCACCGCCTCATCACAGCTGGAAGCCTCGTCTCTCCGAGCCTCGTGAGGCACCTCCAATCTATAGGCTGAATGAGACCCAGAAATGGAACAGATTCTGAACACGAGCCATCTCCAATAGATGACTCCCAAGGGCGCCAACGCTGTCTACGACCGACAAGACAACCTGACTACCGCCACTTGTCATCATCGCTCTCAATTTACAGCATGAATGCCCTGTGCGGACATCCCTGTCATGCTTTTCCTGGAAACCCGAGGGTCAAGGATCGCCGGGTGCTGCTAACTCAGCGTCAACTTCGGGACCCACAAGGGTCCAGCTCCACCGACGGACTGGGAGGGATGCCTGTCGATTCGCGACTAAAAAGCTCTGGTGGGCCATCAAGTGTTGTTGATCGCAGGGAGAGGGGTTTTTTTCTTTCATTCTTGTGATGTGAAGCAGGCCCCAGGCACCGCAACAACAAGCCAGCAAAACATCGTAACGCCTCCCCCGCCTCTCTCTTCTCCATCGGGCGACCCCTGAGTCCACTCATGTTGGCAAGCTTCGGCAGGGTTTCCCAGATTACCAGATCACTTGCATATCCCAACTAGTGAGAGGAATTTCCCGCATCTGCTCACCGCAACGCGCAGGTCAAAATGGGCTTGGTGGGATTGGAGACTTTTGGGGGGGCATGCGCCGAAAGCGTCGCCAGGCTCTCAAACGCCTCCTCCTTAGGTGGTGCTCTTCGCCGAGCGCTCGGAGGACGCATCTCTACCACTGACTGTTCTGGGGCCAGCGCTTGAGCGTATACAGCGTGGGGTATTGTCTCATCTGCAAGTTGACTCCTGTTGACTCCGAACCGCTGGTGCCAATAGCAGCCGTTCGTACAGTGACTATTCCACATCACCGGACAACCGGCTTTGGCAGCTGGTCTTTTTCTTGAGTCAAGGGGTGATCCTGCCTATACAGCCATTGCGTGAAAAGCAGAAGAAAACTAGACCACGCTGGCGCAAGATGCCGAGACTAACGTATCGCAGCCATGAACTACTGGATTGTTGCCGTCATCCTCGTCCAACACGATGCGTTTGGACAAAGGGTCACTACAGCGCAAAGTGCAGTTTTTTCTTCTCTCTCCGTCGATCATACATACCGTCACGACGATCCACATTACTGGTGTATCACTCCACTCATATTCTGGGCTCTTTGGGTTCCAGAACGTTTGCTCTGTCGTTGTCGGATGAGCTCTTGATCCGCGCTGCACTCCTCTAGGACTGATCTTCTCTCAACCCCTCAGCCCCTGACCCTCCTGTGCCATCACAGGAGGTTGGTCAGCTCCCTCACATCTGCGCCACTCGTCCCGTCTCCGCGTCTGACGCACGCGACTAACTAACTGTCTGTGACTGGTTTGCTCGGCGCTCCGCTTCTTCTTGACGATGGGGCGAAAAAGAGGAGGAAAGAAAACTCTCGAGACCGGCACACAGTGCAGGAAGCTGTCGACGGCCATCACACGGCAGCATGGTCGGCAGCCAGGCACGCCGCATATGCGTATGCTGCTTCAGGTCTCTTGGCTTGTTCGCAGTTAGCTACTGGGCCGGCATGTGTAATGCGTGTGTGAGCGTGGTGCTGGAAAATGGCAGGGCTGTTTGGTGTGTACTGGGCTTGAATGGCGCTCCCAATGCATTGCTCAGTCTTCCCCGCCCGTCCTCTTGCCTCCCTCGCTACACTGCACCGGCTTGCCGAGGAGCTCTCTGCTTGTCAGTCCTCGGCTGCAGGGCAGGGACGGGCGCACGCAGGCGGTGTGGGATCCATCACGAGGGGGACTCGTCTGCGAATCGGGACTGGTCGAACCCCATGCCGCCGCCTGGTGCAAGTTCCAGGCGCTTGCTCTCGGGTCACGTCTCAAGGTGCGGCACCAACAACGTCAGCAGGGTATGGGAAGCTGTATCTGTCGGGAGACGAGAGCACAGACTCGCCCTTTCCCTACCTCCTCCTGGACCCCCTCCTGGTCTTTGCCCTCTTCGTCTGGGCCTCGAGGATCGTGGGATGCCTACTGCATCACATTGGGCCGTTGCCGGGCTAAACAGGCCCCCTTTGCACAGGGGCGGGGCATCTAGGATGGATTCTTCCACCTGAGCGAGAGCCCTCGTGTGCGCTTTTTAGGGAGCATTCAACGGACGTCACCGTCTCGCCGCCAGACCACCACCACCACCACTATTTCCATGTCATCTCGATGGCTGGCCGCGAGTATTGACGTAGTTTGCCACGGCCAACCAGCCACTGCCTGGCAGCCTAGCTACCTGAATGCGCTTCTGACCGCCTTTCTCCAGGCAGTAGGTAGGACCAGAAGCCGAGCACGCAGCAAAGAGAGCCCCGTCTCCGCCCGCCGGGTGTGGGATTTTGGTGGTCTCGATGGGCGGGCCTCTCGACGGCACACGGATCTGGGGGCTCGAGTTCCGAACGATTAATTGCTGCTGTCGCTGCCTGTAACTCGTCGACCACCCTCACGAGACTCTGGTGACGGCACTACTGGTGCACGAGAGCAATCAGTGTACTACGCCCCAGACCGGACACACGGTGTCTCTGTCTCGAAAAGTAATTCTGAGCGTGACCTCAGCTCAATGTAGCAAATGGTTCTTGGCCATGCTCCGTCCTATCGCAGGAGCATCGAACCGCGCGCCGGTACAGTCTTCCGCCTCCCGGGACCTACAGTCCACCAAATGGGAATTCAATGTTTGCCCCGACACGGCCCTTGCCCCCTTCTGCCCATTGCTCATCATCCGTCACGTACACACATGCACACAAAGTGCCCCCCGGAGCGAGGCACCCAAGACACCCAGTTTCGCAATACCACCTCAAATCCAATAGTCGAGTCATCGCCCAGCCCGGACGCCGTGCCTGCTGCCTGCGAACCCCCCCAATCATCCACCCTCCACAACCCATCACATTTGGTCCGTGGCCAGGTGGGTGGGTGTTCTCGCTCGCCAGGCTCCGACAGTCGGACACGCGCGCCTGCGGATCGAGTACTGTTTCGACCGCGTGCTGTACTGCTCTGTCCGGGGTGGAAGCCTGCCTAGGCCTTTTGTCTCGTGAACGATTGGTTGCTGTTGCTGCTGCTGGTGTGCCGCCGGGCTGGCAGCCATTTCTTCCACTCCTCGCCCCCGGACGATTTGTTCGCAACCGCCCCCAGGTGACGCGGGCGTCGCCGAGGCTTACCATTGCAACGTGACGCACCGAGTGCTTACAGATGTAGTGCTGCGCCTAGATCGGAGATCCTGCTCCTTCGTACGTCTCGTGTCGGACAAAGATGTTGCCTAAATTGGGGGGGTTGATAGGAAGGGAATCGGTTGGGTTGGGCTGATGGTAAGGCAACTAACTGCAGTGGATGGATTTCACGGTCACACAACGTCACTGCGCGGCGAAGATGACGAAGCACGAGGCACGAGAAGAGACAAGAATGATTTCTCTCCGTGTTCCGCCCTCCTTTCTCGACCCCCCCTCCCCCCCATCGTCCTGTAAAGAAGAAGAAATTGTACAATGATCTTTCCCACACACACGACCATGCGATTGAACGCAGAGTTTTGCGGTGCCGACCTGAGTCGGGGGAGAGAACGCAACGATCTCCCCCGTTTTCCCACAACCGTTGAACAACACCCCCAACGCCAGCCAGAGTCCAAAAATGATTTTCCGATTAAACTCCCACTCCCACTTCCCCCCGTTGCTGTGTGTGCAGTTGCCCCCTCATCCAAGACAAGTGTCGATCATGGCGGGCTACACCGTGACGCCACGAGGTTGCTTGTCCTGCTTGCCGACTCAATGCATTGTTGACGTCTCCCGCCGCACATACGTGCCGTTTTGTCTGGTAGGTGTACCGTCCTGTCTGGCGGGGATGCCATTTTGTCTGGGAGGTGTACCATCCTGCCTGGCAGGTATGCCGTTCTGTCTAGCAGGCGTGCCATTCAGTCTCGTAGGCGTGCCAGTCTCTCTCGTGGGCGTGCCATGACGCCTGGTGGGCGTTGTGCCATTCGGCCTCGCAGGTGTACCATTCTGTCTAGTAGGCGTACCGCTCGGTCTAGGAGGCATGCCATGCCATCTCGCCGGCGTTCCATTCTGTCCGAAACTGACGCCGTCTCCCTGAGGGACCTACCGGAAGGGGACGACGGCGCGATCGATGATGGGCTCGCCGCGTGCGCATACGTCCGTCTCGTTGCCCCAGCGTGCGGCCCAGTCGACCTCGCGCTGGGCGGCGCGGTCAAAGGCGGCGCGGCACGCGGGCGGCAGCAGGTCCTTGATGTCGTCCGAGACGCCGCACAGGCCGTCAAAGGGGGCAAGAAAGTCGGCGGCGGGCCGCTGCTTGGACGAGGACGAGGGGGCCATGCCGGCGGGGGCCGACTCGTAGTAAATGTCGAGGACCTGGGCGTTGCGGGCGACGGCGGGGGGCAGGCGCGGGAAGACGGGCGTCGGCGCGGGCTCGTCTTCGGGGGCCACCTGCTCGATGCGCGTGTGGGTCGGCTGCATGATCGAGGGGTACTGCATCATGTTTGTGTGCACGTCGTAGATGCCGCGGTTCTGGTAGCGGCGGATGGCGTTGATTGATGTGTTGAAGGTGCTGCTCTCAGTTAGCCACGTTCGTTCCATGGAATGTGCCCGACAGGAAATGGGCCCGACAAATATTGGGCCCAGCAAGAACATACCTGGCTTCGCGCGCGTGCTCGAGCATCCAGTTGGTGTTGTTGACGTTGACGCGGCGCTTCTTGACCTCGACCTTGCCGACGATGGGGTCGGCTGCCGTCGGGGCGTTTTGGTGGTAGACGGAGCTGGCGCCGTGCCAGGCGACGTACTGGTTCTTGTTGTACGGCTCGGCGGGATTGTACATGTCGTTGGGGTCGGCGAGGTCGCCCTCGGTGACGCCCTCCTCCTCTCGGGCGTCGGCGACGCGGTAGTCGTCGAGGACGCGGCGGCCACCGACGACGATGCGCGCACCAAATTCGCGGAAGACGGAACGGGCAGTAACGATTCCTATCGACCGGCCCTTGTACGAGTGCGGGATGATCTCGCGATCAATCATGTCGCGCTTCTCCTCGTCGTCGACGATAATCTTGTGCAACTTGAGGTGCTTGGTGAAGAAGAGGTACGAGTCGCGGAAGCCGACGCAACGGGCGGGTTCGGTTGACAACATGTAGAGGCGGTTGCCGCGTCCGAGGACGGTAAAGGTGCGGCAGCGGTACTCGCGGTCGCCGAGCAGGTTGCCCGACTTGTCGACCTTTGTCTCGCCGTCGGGGTCCTCGGGCAGGACGCACTCGTCGTTGACAATGTCGACCTCGGTGCCCTCCTTGTCGATGGCCTGGCGCAGCTTCAGCGGCGCCTGGCCAGGACCGGGCTTGCGACCGCCGCGTCCGCGCCAGCCGCCACGACCGCGACGACGAGGCGTGTCGGCCTCGGAGGCGGGCACCGTGATCATGGGGTCCCAGTCGGGTGGGCGGTTCTTCGGCGGACGGCCGAGACGCTTGCGGCGGACGGTGGCCACGGGCGGCGGTGTGGGTTCCTTGACAGAGGCTTCTGTGTCTTCAGCGTCCGGTTCGCCGGCCGCTTCTTCCTGGTCGGCGTCATCGTTATTCGAATCGTCTGCCTTCTCCTGCTCGTCGTCGTCGTCATCGTCGGCCTCGGGTTCGGGAGGCTCATCGGGTTCGGATGCTGGCTCATCAGGAATATCAGGCATGGGCTCATCATCCTCGATGCCCTCAAATGCGCGTGGTGTACTCTCTGTGAAGGCATCATATCAGCATGCATGCGAATCCATGTTGCCATGCGCCATGTGAGGAGAGAACAGGGAGAAGCTCACGAAGGGCAGCCGATGCGCGTCTAGCGGCGGCGCGACCAGATCTTCGACCCATCGCTGCTGAAGCACAGCCTGTGCGTGCGTCGTTGATGCAATGCTTGCAGTGGTAGCGGATGATGCGGACGAAAAATAGGCGGGCTCAATTGCAGCTGGCAGATGCTTGGCTGGGGGTGGTCTTAAGGATTCGCGATCATGGAGCGGCCGTGGACGATCTCAGCCTGGTCGCGGTCGCGTTTGGTCGTTCCTTCCTCTGGGCCACAGATTTACGGGCCCGCACGTGATGCGCTTTACTGTGTGTAAAGTTATAATTTCAGGCACGGTGCATCCAGAACACCACGATCCTGTGAACAGGACCACCTCGCAAATGATCCGATGATCAGATACACAGCGTCACTGTTCAATGCTGCTCATGGCGCCCCTCCCCGAATCCATGAGCATCCACAGTTGATGCTACATCTCTTTCCAGTAAATCCAAATCACGTCTGGATATGGCATCTCCTGCCTGGGTCTTCGACAGAAATCCTTGCATGATTGGAACCACATCTATCCTCCCACCTCAGCTTGTCGCCAGCGCCTCAGGCGATGCACCACTGCCGGCCTGCAACGCCCTCAGCGCATCCGAGTTCCTCCTTGGTGCAGACTGTAGCGGCACATCCTATCGGTCGCCAATGTCAGCATGCACAGAGCATCCATGCATTCGCGCACCGGGAAGCAGCTTCTCTTACCTTCCACACTTCTTCAAAGCCCCCAGATCTGACATACAGCACGCCGGGGCCCTCCACTGCGTCGACCGTCATGGCTTGGATCTTGCGCCAGATATCGTCCCCCTTCAGAACAGCCCACGACTTGTCGTCATACTTGCTCATCAGTTCGTGGCACAGAGCATTCACTCGCGCCTGCTTGATGGCGTGTCCGTCGTCGCCAAAGTCCTGGAGCAGCAGCCCAATCTCTAGACGCGGGTGGCCGTGTCAGCCAGAGACGCACAGCTGGACATCAAGCATCGCAACTTCGCAATGCTCCCCACATCGACATCGACACTCACCTCGTACAGACCCTTCGATTGGTCTCTTGGACTCGTAAGAAACGATACCCTCGAGGGAAATCTCTGGACAGCCTCGCGCTACATACTCGAGAAAGTCCATCCTGATCTTCCACTCGAGTAGCCGCGCTTTATCTGCCGGCGAGATCCATGCCTGCTTGTTGATCGTCAGGTAAAAGATGGCCGAGTTGACATGGTGCCTGCCCGTGACGTTAGCAAGGCAGTCGTTTCCCCTTCGGCATGACAAGGTTTACACCTCGCGACCACGTACATCAGAAAAAAGTCATATTTCACGTAGTGCGGCGGGTGAATGGCGGCGCTCGACGCGACATAGATGATCGTGTGCAGCATCTCCGCCGTTCTCTCCTCTACTTCGTCTTCTCCCACGTGCACCTGCGCCAATGCCGCAAGCATGGCCTCTTCCGCTCGCTGTAGAATGCCGTCGCGAATCTTGTTGCTGTCCGTGAAGCGAGCCGCGCGCCGAAGCTGAGGGTCGGCCCTGAGGCCCTGGAACAGGGAGAGCAGCGTCGGCATTTTGGCGGGTTGCGATACATGCCGCGCTCGGCGCTCGCTCTTGAGCAGCAGGCCATCGAGACCGTCGCGCTGATGTACGCATGTCTGGGCCAGGGCCTCCGCGACGATGGCGGGCTGCTTCCATTCCAGCGCGAACATGAGCTGGAGCAGCGAGTGCAGGACGCCGGCGTGGAGACGGATGAGCAGGTCATTGGCGTGCGCGTCTCCCTTGAAGAGGTACTCGTTGACGACGGCTTCGTAGCCCTTGTCGTCGATGACCTGCTGGAAATGGGCCAGAAAGTCGGGGTAGTACTCGTCACGCCCGAGATAGGGTGCGGCATTGTCCCACGATGCGGCCAGCGCGGATACGATATCGCCGTGGCGCGGCTCGACTGCGCGCTGTAGCGAGTCTCGGAGCGAATACGCCCTCTCGAGTTGCGCGACGCTGGCGCCGGTGCCGTACAGAGCCAGGATGTGGTGAGGCATCTGGCAGAAGCCGTCAACATGCGATGCGTAGGCACCGCCGGAACGGCGTCCAACTCACATGGTCGTGGAATCCCTTATTGTTGAGGAAAACGTGGTGATTCTAAGCATAGTTCGTCTCGTCAACCCGACGATCAAGGCAGCGCTGTTCACACGGAACACGCGATGCAGCCTACCTCTAGGTCATGGTTCAACAGCTCGCTTGCCTTGGCGGCCGCCTCGCTGGTCTGTTGGACCTCCCATAGCCCCGTGTTCTCGGGTGAGATGCATATTGACTTGGCCGACATGATGCTCAATATAGATAGAGCTGAGGTACTAAGAGTATTCCCTTGCCGCCAAAGACCTTTGTGCCTCTTCGTCTCAAGTCACATCGAGCCCTTCTTCAAGCGAGCGCCGCGACATACTTTATATCCTTCTCTGGGGAGGTAGCTGCTGATCGAGGTGCATTCGACACTCCCCGCTCTCGATTTATCAGCCGATCGCGTAGGGCTGCCAATAAAGTCAAACGGATTGCTCATTGACGCGCATGGTCTACCAATTTGTCCTAGTCTCACCGGCTTCGCATGTGGAATTGTGGGGTGCAACGAATGACGTCAAGGCCCCTTCACGAGCCTCGAAGAATCGGATCACGATGCGCATTTTGCGCGACTGGCATGGTTGCAGTTCGGTAGTACACTGGTCACTGTATGGCGACTCTCGTGGACTGTTCATTCCGTTTCGAGAAGCAAGTGGAATAGACCTGCCCTGGCACGGCAAAGAACCCTCTTCTGATGCAAAGGTATGTAGCCCGTGACCGAGCAGATTGACTACCCTTACGGGCCCAGAACTGATGTGAGGGCTGGCGTGACGGTTTCGCTCCACGAGTCGGGAGTAAGGAGGGCCTTGGGGCAGGCTGAAAACACAGATCACAACATTTCGGTCCGCTTCGTCCGCGTGTGCTTACGGGCAACTTGGCAGCATCCATGGCAGAAGGATTGATGATATCCTGCTCTACTTGCGCCGCAGTCTGATGAAGTAGGTAAAGAAGACCAGAATGCAGGACAGTTGGCGACAACACAACGCAGTCAAGCCAGGCGGATCCTCTGCATATTTCTTACACACTTCATCGCTGGCAGAAGTGTTGCCCAGTGGAAGTATGGCTGACCGCTCATTTGGCTGCGGACTATGACACTCTTATCTTTTGTATCGTTTTCGCATGATGCTACGCGCAGTCAGGACACATTATTTGGCGCAGTACTGGGCTCATTTTGCTCTGAGCGTTGGAATCTATCCTCAAAACATGCCCAGTCAGGCACTTTGACCGCCATTTAATGGCTCATTCCAAACAAAGGTGTTGTAGGGAAGTCGTCAGTCTTATCTTTCGGCCCCTGACTTCAAAATGCCACTTAGTTCACTTGCCACATGCCATGGTCGTCGGCCACAACTCTACAGGCCGAGAAGTAGCAAACGGCGAGTGACCAAGATCTGTGGTGTGGCGAAAGATGTATTTAATTTTCCAGATGATTGCTGTGCTTCTGGGCATACACAGAAGCTGTACCATCGCGTTCTATCCATTATCTCGTGCTCAAGATCGCGAAGCCCGCGCGACATCACATGGGGGGAGTGTCGCACCACTGCAGCCAAGGTCGGCTATATGCAAGAACCCTTGGCTGTGCCGTCGAGAGGCCTTTGGGACTTGTTTAACCCACGCCGAGAAACCTTGGACCCGGTTGTGAAATCTCCCCAGGACGAATACCCGCACTACTTGCTCCTGCTTCTGAGATTCGGTCTTTCATCGCCCCCTGACCAAAGTGTATGCTGAATTCAAGACGTGCATCGACTCTGGCCAGGCCTGACATGGCTGAACAGTGACGCGGCCAATGTGGGCAAGGATTGTCATCCCAGGCGGCCCCCTTGAGGAATCCTATCTTCATATCGGGATTCCCTGTCTTGCCTGTCAACATCGATTGGCCAAGACCCATGACCTTGCCACACTGGTCTTCCCTAGCAGCAACGGAGTGGTCAAAATTACCAAAGAAACCGAACACAATGTAGCTGATGGGTTGTTTAATAGAAATAAATCTTCCCTGAGCACGCATGTAGAGGTTGAATCGCACCTGAGCAGTCCTGATTCTCTTACGCAGCACCGAGCCTGTGACTATGGTTCATCTGGTTGATCTTGCTGCCGCCTTTGCTTGTGTTGGACTGGTCGATGGTCAACGGACCGGTTTCAAGAGCGTATGTACTCGCTGATTTTGTGTTTTTCGTATCCAGTGCTGATTTGATCACTAGTGCGATGTGTTGATTGATGCTGGCCTTGGCGACAAGCTGCTCCTCGCGTCTGGTCCTGGAGACGGCTATAGCCGCAGCCTGGGCTCTTATTCTAGTTTAACAATTCGAGAGATTACCCCATGGTGTATTCTTTAGCCAGAAAATGCTCAGGACGTTTCGGCTGCAATCAAGGCCCTCTCTCCTCTTACTGGTGCCGGCCAGTGGAACATCGCCATTCGTGGCGGCGGCCACAGCCACTGGAATAACAACAACATCGCTCAGGGTGTCACTATCGATCTCAGCCTCTTGAACACTACCACGGTGCACAACTCTACTTGCTCCAATGGAACGGCTGTTGCTTCCATTGGCGCTGGCTCAAGATGGGGCCCCGCCTTGTTCGAGGCAGAGAAGCACGGGCTGAGCATTACGGGTGGCCGTGTGAGCAGCGTCGGCGTGGCTGGTCTGACCTTGGGTGAAGGAGCGTCGTTTCACTCTGGTCGCCGCGGCTTTGCCTGCGATGATGTTGTAGACTATGAGGTCGTTTTGGCGGACGGCAGCATCGTCAATGCCAACAAGAGGGTGAACCCGAGGCTGTTCAAAGCCCTGAAAGGGCGGGAGCAGCAACTTTGGCATCGTGACGCGTTTCGACATGGCGGCCTTCCCCGCTGGAGACCTGCATGGCGGTATTTTCCTCACGACTTGGGATCAGAAGGACAAGATTCTCGATGGTTTCGTGGACGTCATCGCAACCAACAGGAACCACCCAGCAGACAGCCAGATCGTGCTATTTCAGCATCAGACTGGTTTGCCTCAGCCCATGGTCGGGACCATTGCGGTCAACATTGATGGGAATGCGAGTGCACCAGTCTTCGACGCTCTCAGAGGAATGCCTTCTGTCATTGATTTGAGACAGACACAGACCTACGGGGAGCTGGTCAGTAGCATGACTGACGACGGCGGTCAAAGGTGAGCACTGCTGCCTGATCCTACGGGACCGCAGGGGGAACATGACCGACTGATGGTAACAGATATGTGTGGTTCTCGCTTTGCTTCCATAATGACAGGCGCGTCATCAACAAAGCTGAAGAGCTTTTCACCAAGCTCATAGCTGAGATCAACAGCGTCATTCCCGAGGAAGATCTTACCATCATCTTTATCTTCCAACCTCTGCCTAAGCATTATGGCCAGGCCAATGCGGGAGGTAACGTTCTCGGCCTGGACAAAACACTCACCGAGGATTCGATAATTTGGCTAGGAGAGGCTTTCATCAACACTCATGCCGTCGAAGCACTCTTCCAGAGCAAATTGGCTGTCGTCAGTGCGCAACTGGAGGCGTACGCAGAGTCAATCGGTGCCAACACGCAATGGCGCTACCTGAATTATGTCAACCCGACACAGAATCCTCTTAAGTCATATGGTCCCGAAAATGTTGCCTTCATTAAGAAGGTTGCTCAGGAGTATGACCCGTCCGGGTTCTTTCAGACCCGACTTAGTGGCGGCTTCAAGATCTCCAACGTGGAGTGAGCATGGCAAACCTTGTACTTCATCAAGGGTATGAAGGAATATAATAATTCACGTACTTTCAACCACATTATGTAAAGAGCCATACAAGCCGCTTCCCTATATGAAACCCCTCCAGACACATACGGACCCATGTCTTTCCACTGCACCCAGCAGGCAAGGATCTAGTAAGCAAGTGTGACGCATTTTCCAGTCCACTCTCTCCTGGCCTGAATGACCTCCTCAAAGATCCATTCCGCCAAATCGGCCCTCGAGATCGTGTACCCGACCGCCGGCCCCGGGCCCTTCTCTCCCTGGCCGTCCGAATCATGCCTGACCCAACCAACGCGTACTTTTTCAAGCCCCTTGCCAGGGTTGCCAGTCAACAGCGGGGCTCGGACGAAGACGTAGCCGCCCAACGCCGACTTGCCGCCTAGAACATCCTTCGAAACGACAGTCTCCATGTCCTTCGTATCAGCAATCGCCTCCGGTAGGAGCCAGTCATACAACGGGCGCATAATGAGCGGGAGGTCGCGCTGGACGGATATCCCAGTAGACGAGATGGGAACAAAGAGCGGGGCCCTCGACAGGGCGCCTTCGTCTTTGAGTTCGTGCAACGCGCGCAAGACCAGGGACGCGGAGTCGCCTATTAGTGTCGGGTCCTGCATCGTCACGGGCCGGAAGGGGTTGAAGTGGAAATCCGGCAGACTGGTGAGACCGGTGACGATGAACTTTGGGTTGTAGCGGAGCAGATTTTTCAGAGCGCCGAGGTCGCGGGCAGAGCCTTGAACAGCGATGACATTCGACTCCAGTGTCGATTTGGGAATGTTGTGAGTATGCTCCAGAGCGGAAAACAGCTTGGAGGGGGTCCGAGCGACTGACGATACATTAGCACAACCCTTCCTTGGAGGTGGTGGTCTGAACCGTACGGGCGACGACTCGATGGCCTGCCTTCAGCGACAGTGCAATGATGTGACTCAAAGTGGTGCCCGCTCCGCCAATGAAGGCAATTGTGACCTGTCCGGATGTCATTGTAATGCTGCGACGGGCCAAGCAACTCGATGAGGGTAGCTTGGTGAACACTTGAAGAAACTGATGATTTGGGGATCTCAGCAAATTCAGGAGTCTCTGCGCGTATGATATTTAAACATCCATATTCACTGCAATCGAGTCGTCTCTACCATCTGGACAGCACATGCATGCCGGCTCTGTAAGCACAAGATGAGCTTACTTCAAGATCACATCCCCGGCGACTTCATGCCTCGATGCTTCGACCCGGCCCACATTTCCGGACTTCGAAGCCCGCGGACCGCTTCATGGAGACCCGGTCAACCAGCACTACTGGGGACGTTGTTGGCGACAGTCGGGCTAAACATCTTGCCGCATACAAGCCACGCGCGAGTCATGCCCACGAAGTTCCCCCGATACCGTTGATTTCAAGCTCAAGTGGTTTCATTTCAGCTCATCTAACGGAACCCGAAGGATGCGAGTTGGTAATCGCCTCGGTTTCGTGTCTTCTTCTACTGAAGGAAGAAGCGGAACGAACATGCTTCATAACAGAGCTTGCTGTGCCAGAAGAACAACCAGCGCGCATCAACGACGCAGGTCGAAGGGTGGTTGGGCACGGAACCTCGAGGCATCGCGCGACTTTCACAAGGCGCACCTCCTCTAGCACGTAGCTCAGCAACCACAGCATCTAGCACCAAAAAAGCAATCAGGACGACACGGCACTGCGAAAGCATCTGAAGTCAAGCTGATATGCGCTACTGCCTAGCTTCTGCTGAGGATGCCTGGACCACATGGCAATCTCGCTGGTCCCAACCACGCCCACGCTACGGCTCCGAGCCCATATTGCGACCTGCTCATCTTTCAGAAGCAGGCCAAGCCGCCATCTCAGGCGGCGCGCAATCGGCAGCTGTGCGTTCGCATTATCGATGTTTGATCGCAAAATGAAAAAGCCCCCGGACCCCTCAATGCCTACCAGAAGCTGTGCCTCTGTTGACCGCCCGCTACCTGGAACACAGGTTGCAATCAGGTTCGTATTCAGTTTGACTCGATGACGGGAGTGGAAAGTTGCTCAAACTGCACTGCCTCGTCCGTCATCGACACACCGCTTGCGTCAGCAAGCTTCTCCAAGCATCTGTATTTCGGAATCGACACAGGCGTCGCCACGGGAGTCAACATGGCATAGTCCGTGGATGAAGTCTTGTGCTGTAGAGGCTCCATGCCTGTGATCTTCTAGTTCACCGGCAGGCTGTCAATGGCCTTCTGACTTACGCCCCATTCCTTCTCGATGAGACGCTCGCGAGCTTGGTACAAGAACTTGTACGCTGTTTTGATAGTGCCGTCGCTAACACCGGCTACCGCTGCAATGTCCTTGGACGTCTTAGCCTCCTCCATAAGGTGTGACGCCATGTAGATGCAGGCCGCAGAGACGGACAGTGGCGAACGACCCGCAAGTTCGGACACGCTGACCGTCTTACGAGCGAGAGCGCGCGACACGTTCTCAATCTTCTGCGACTGCCTGAATGGCAGCTGCGAAGTGAAACGAGTGCAGAGATCTTCGGCATTGGTCGACGTTGAGGCCTTGTAGCCGCTAAGATCTTGAATGGCATTGCCGCCAGGGTTGGTCTCTTTAATCTTTTGCAGGAATGACTCCAGAGCTTTAAAGACCCTTCCGATCTCCTTCTTAGAGACGTTGGTAACTTGGTAGATTTCTCGGAAAGTACGACCAACACCTGCCTGACGGCATGCAATGAAAATGCAGCCGGCCACGAGAGCTTCCTGGGGTTTCCCCTTCATAAAGCTGTGGTCGTGGCAAAGTTTGTAGATGTGCTTGGCACCGTCTGCCACGTTCTTTCCCAAATTGATGCTGTCAGTAAAGGCGCTGATCTCGCGGAAAGCGGAACCGATGGCCTTGGTGTTCTTATCTGTTTGCGACTTGTTCTGGATACGCGCAAGGTTCTTATGGTCCCTGCCCTCAGAAAAGGCAATGCTCGTCTCGAGCTGGGCACCGTCGAGCAGAGGGTTGCCAGCGTCACCGACACGAGACGGGTCGTCGTTGCCCTGGTCGTCATTGGCGAACGTACGCCATTCAGAGCGGGTGTCAATGATGCGCTCGCCCACAACGAGGCCGCAAGAGCCACAAACCATGTCGCCAGAAGAGAACTCCTCCACCAGATTGGGAGGCTGCTCGCGGCAGTCAGGACACTCTACAATGATGTTGAGGTCCTGCTTGAAGTCGCCGATGGCGTTGCCATGCTCGTCTAGAGCTGGCGCTCCGGCGGGATTCAACATTTTGCTTGTGTATGGCTTGGGCGTATATATAGAGTTTTTCTGGTCGAAAACTTTTCTGCGTCGCTTCGCTTCCTTCTTGCGTCGCCGGAGTTCCTGTCGCTTGTTGAGGACAGTCCTGTAGAGTTTGGGGTGCTTCTCCGATGTGATGTCCTGGTGCCAGACGCGGTCGGTAGAGAGTTGGACAAAGAGCGGCGAATGCAGCTTGGCGGTGTTGGAAGGCAAGGGCAGGCAAAGCCCAGGAAGGAAGGCTGGCGATAGAGGAGATTGAGAAGTATAGGAGTCTGGGAAGTTTCTCTCTCTTTTTCGGGAGGAGTTATTCAGAGGGTCGATCGATCGCTGGAATCAGAGCGCTGAGGGGAATCTACCCTACGAGTTCACGGAGGAATGCGGCTTTCGTTGACAGTGAATGTGGTGGTTCTTGGATGACAGCGGCAATCGGCTGGATCCCTGTGTCAAGATTGTAAGCATGCCTTTCTTACTTGTTGCAGGAGGCTGTCCTGCTCACAGTAGAAAAGAACCAAAGGTGGCCCCGTCAATGGCAGCGAGGTCAACGATAGTGCAGATCAACAGTTGTCGCTGTGATTTGAGGGTGGAGAGTCGAGGGAAGAGTCTTTTCGCAAGGCGGGCAAGGCAGAAAAGCCGACCGATTTCTGGACCAGTAAAGGCGTCTGAGATGGCGCGGACCCCAGATCAACGAAACAGTCGGCTTCAGGTCTTCAGACGATCGCAAGAGAGTGAAATCGGCAGGAATTTCGTGTCTTGACGGCGAGGGAGGACGGTCTTGGTGCGGCGAGCGAAGGACTTGAGAGGGATGTAGGAGGAAGGTGACCGACGCCCTGTTTCGGATCCTCGCCTGTGCTCTTGTCGACGGCGCAAACCAGGCAGGCGCCGAGTTTGAGCCTTACTCAGCATCAGGCATCTCGTCACGTGAGGTGCGCCACCACCGCTTGGTAACGCTCAAGGTCGCCCAAAGGTGATTCTGGGCTATTCACACGCAGGGCACCTAAAAATATCGTAACTTTATATGAGAAAACAATGTGAACGCTGCAGCATCCATTCGTTAAAATGACATTGTACTGTTTCCCGTGAAGCACCTCCCAAGAGAGAAAGCAAGCCAAAACGCCGAAATAATCACCGTCTGGGTATCCTGTACATGATGCGCCCCTGGTACATGCCCCCCCCTCGCAGCCCTGTACCTTGCCTCAAGGTTCGTGTGAATATCAAATGCACTCCCTCTACCCTGATGAACACTCCCGTGTCGATTCAGCCTCTGGTAAACCAAACTTTCTCAGGGCTGTTGCGACGCGTATTGTTCTGAGCCCTCCCACTGATCGGCATCGGAGCACCCTCACGGGTCGCAACCTCAAAGCTTGGTGGCCGATGCAGCATTGACGGCAGCCCATGGTATGGTCGACCAAACTCATCAGGGTGCGGTGGCTGGCTATTGGATCTTTCGACGCTGCGCAAAAGGATATTCGTCGACGGCGACGGCGACGGCGACCTCGAGTCCGGCGTCAGCCTGACATTGACCTCATCCCCTCGATGCGGCTCTTGGTGTGACACGGCCCGGCCGCGATGGGAGCTCGGCGCCCAATCGCTGTTGCCGCAGAGGTTGGAGTGCGGAACTTGCGCCATCGCTTGGTTGAGAGCCGAGTCGTTGTCCGAATTGTCAACAGGATAATTGGACGAACGGCTCGTCAAGGACTTCCGAATCATGACGCTGCGCTGCATCTCATCTTCCTCGATGCGTTCCAGGGCGCTGAGCCTTTTCCGACGGGCGAACTCTTTGCGTGTGAGGTAGGGGTCCTTTTGGCATGCTTCGCGATACTGGCGCTCGCCGCCGCGGCGGTTGTAACAGAGGAAAGCAATGACCCCAAGGATTACCACAACGGCAATGACAATGCTTGCGATAAGGATAGCTGTGGTGTGGGAATTGTTGTCGGTTGACCTGCGGTCATCTTGCTGTCGTGAGTATATCGCAGGTGACATTGCGAATATGTGAAGCAAATTGCTAGTAGCTGTTCATTTAGTACGGTTTAAACAGACGGAGGTAAGAACCGTGCATCAAGATATGGGTATCTTGAGATTTATGGTACTTTGACTTGGGCCAGTGGTGCCGGAAGGAAGGCGCATTCACAGTCTTCTGCCCACGCGTGCTTCATGTCGCCGTACAGGGCCAAGAGTGCGGGCCGCAGCCTAAAACGGGCGATAAGGTGATGATGTGCACACGCTGAGCAAACCGTGGTCAAGCAGCCAAGGCCGCGTACAATGTCAAAGTGCTATAATTGGGCGACCGTTGCATTCACCCTCCTTGCCGCCTATCGAATGCTACGCTGAGTCGGCCGAGCTCGTGGCCGATGCAGAGGGCCGCAGGATCACCTCAAAAAGTAGCCGCATCCGCGAGGCGAAGCAGGCGCACCAGACGGGGGTGTGCCCATTTTCGTATTGAGCACCCAGTGCCTTTACCGGGAATGATGGTCCCCTGATCTGGCGTTCTCATCTGGCATCGGCTCGTCGAGGTGTGCGGTTCTCGATCGCACGCCACGACCGCCAACCACCCCCAAGCACACGAAGGATCATGAACTCCCGGGCGGATTCTTCCCGCCCGTCGCATGAGGACCCAGTAGGCGGCCTATCGTCTTGCCTGTCGTGCATACGTTTCTCTCAGATGCATCCTTCCCATCTATGCTTAAAGAGAATCCTCGACTGGACGCTTGAGGTACGACGAAGCACAGATTCACTTGATCAACACCAACAAGACATGCAAAGGTGGGATTTCTAGCCAGAACAGCATCAAATTGCCCGTTTCTAGGTCTCACTGTCTTTCACGGTGGTACCATCGGCGCCTGGCATCCTTGACAAGGGTGATGGGGGCGAAAGGGTATTTTGGGAACGGCCGAAAGACAGCCCCGCTCAGAACCGGGGGTGCCCTGAGCTCGTATACAAGTAGAACAGTTCAGGGATCGTGAATGACAAGGTGTCAGCTCTGCTTCGCATCAACCTCGCGGTAGGGCTGCATTCTCTCAAGTGAATATCTTCTCGGCAATTGGCAAGGTGCACACTGTTTCACCAAGTGCCCCGGTCTCATAGCTCGGAAGCACTGGGAGAAGTCAGCGAGGGCCTGGGGCGTGTTGCATCAATGGATTTATCTGCTCTCATCGGTATTGACTACGATATGTAGTGCCGTGTAATGCTTCCTTGGAGGCTCGAGTGAAGGGTATAGCGGACGTGCAGGTGGGTTTGAGTTTCGTATGATTTGATGATCGGCCAGACCCCATCGTGGGCCATCTTCGTGGTCAACAGTCGAACTCACGGTCGGGCAGTGCTGATCAGATTAGTTCGACTGACCAATTCGACCGACCAAGGGCTGAGACGGCGTCTTCCTGTGTGTCAGGGAGCAGTCATGATGAAGGGTGAGTATTGCAACGAGGAGGTGGTCATTCTGTCACACGCGAGATCCCTCTGCGTGAGGCCGTGGGCATGCGTGATCGAGCACCAATCGTTCGATGAAGTGGAAGTACTGTAATCAATTCTTAGGTAGGTGCCTACCCACCATGTGGGAGTCGGCGTCGCTTCCACCACCCGACCACAAGACCTCAGTGCGGCACCCTGCAGTCGTAGCGCCATGGGCCTGTGGGATGCCACTGGAGGTGGACCTCGGCGCGGGCGTCTCCCCGCATCTGGCTGGAGCCCCTGCGCCACCTTGTGCGTATTCTTGTCCTGGAAACACACCTCACATCCGCAACCCTCCCATACTATCAGGTCTCTGCAAGGCCTTACCCAACTCGAGCAGCATGATCATTCCGATTCTGAAACCCTCACGTACTCTTGTTGGTCTTAGAACTCAATCTTGGTCACACTTGTCTTCCCAGTCACCATGCCGAAGATGGAAGTCTTCCACGCCACCGAGCAACCTCCCCCTTGAAGGGTACCGTGTACTGGACATGACCAGAGTTCTCGCTGGTGTAGGGAACCTTCCCGGACATTCCACATGGCCTTTCACTAACAATCGCAGCCGTATTGTACACAAATCCTCGGTGACCTAGGGTACGCTTGCCTTTTGAGCATTCATCTCGACCCCGCTTCTGACTTCATCTCAGTGCCGAGGTCATCAAGATCGAGCATCCCACTCGAGGCGATGATACCCGCGCCTGGGGACCTCCTTATGCCGCCTACAAGGAAGGCTCAACACAAAAAGGACCCGGAGAGTCGGCTTACTTTCTTGCCGTGAGCATTGGTCTGGTGACAACTGTCATGGCTTTCCATGTGCTGACGACGTCCAGGTGAACCGCAACAAGAAGTCCCTGGGTCTCAACTTCCAGCATCCCAGCGGCACCAAGATCCTCCACAAGTTGGTCGCCAGCTGTGACATTCTTGTCGAAAACTACCTGCCAGGGACGCTGAAAAAGTACAAACTCGACTACGACACGTTACGGGCCATCAACCCCGCCCTCATTTACGCGTCGATCACGGGCTATGGCCAGACGGGACCTTACTCCAACCGTGCTGGGTATGATGTCATGGTCGAGGCCGAGTTTGGTCTCATGCACATCACCGGCAGCCGAGACGGCCCGCCCGTCAAGGTCGGTGTCGCCGTGACAGACCTGACGACAGGCTTGTACACCAGCAACAGCATTATGGCCGCACTGTTGGCCCGTGCCAAGACTGGCAGGGGGCAGCATATTGATGTTTCGTTGAGCGATTGCCAGACGGCAACGTTAGCCAACATTGCCAGCAGCTGTCTCATCAGTGGGAAGAAGGACTCGGGTCGCTGGGGAACCGCGCATCCATCAATTGTACCCTACCGATCGTTCAAGACGCAGGACGGAGACATTCTCTTCGGGGGTGGCAACGACCGGCTCTACGGCATCCTCTGCGAGGGCCTGGGTCGGCCAGAGCTGAAAGACGATCCGAAGTACATTACCAATGCCCAGAGAGTCGCAAATCGCATCGAGCTGGAGGCTTTGATCGAGGGCATCTCAATGACGAAGACGACGGAAGAATGGCTGCAGGTGTTCGAGGGCAAGGGGATGCCGTATGCCGCGGTCAACGACGTGCAGGCGACAATGGAGCACGAGCACACAAAAGCGAGGAACATGGTCGTAGAGATGGATCACGAGCACTGCGGAACGATCAAGATGGTGAACACACCGGTCAAATACTCGGAGAGCGAGCCGAGGATCCGGTCTGTGCCGCCAACCCTTGGGCAGCATACGGAGGAGGTATTGACCCAACAGCTGGGGTTGTCGGCGGAGGGAATTGAAGCGTTGCGGAGCGAAGGAGTCGTAAGGTGATACCTCCTTTGTGAGACTCGTCGGAGGTATAGAAATGAAGGCAATCACGTACAGCGTAAAAATAGCGCCAATGCCATCCCGATTCCGTTTCTTCGTCAGGCTTGCATCTGTTCAACCACAGTATTTTAGATCTGGCGAAGTGGTGCCATCGCATCGCGACTCCAACTGGGGACCTGGCAAGCTGGCTGGCAGGCTCAGGTGCCAGTGAATTCGAGTGGGGCACAGCACGTGACTTCGCGTTTTGTCTGGGAAGGTCCAGTCATCGAACCATTACTGGATCAACTCATCAACAAATTCAACATGGCCATCGCGCCGAACGCTGAACAATTGTTGCGATTCAATCGATCATCAAGAGAACTGCTCTAGGTCGGGGAGGTTCCGTCTCACCCCGCGCATGCAACTCTAACATTGGCATCCACCTATCAGTGCATTTTTTACGACAGCTTTCAGAACGCGGCTCACGCTCCATCCAACACCTGCTCACTCTCAATGGCACTCTAATTCATCTTACGACGGCGATCCGAGAACCCTCGAACACCAACCTACTCTTCATTCTTCATCACTGAACGGTAGTCCGTCTATGAAACTTGTAGCTTTTAGGCGGTCGAGCTTCACAGGCTAAGCCAGATGTCAGGCTCTCTACTGCCCAGTCTGCGGGCGGGCTTACAGGGCACTGGGTCGGAACCAGTTCCTCCAACAACTGACACGATGGACATTGACCATCCAAAAACAGAGGCAAATGTCATAGAAAAGGCCAGCAAGCCCCTTTCTTCGCCGAATGGTTTCCCCCAAAATACAACGCAATTGCCATTAGCAGCGCCACGCCTCTACAGACCGCAGTTTCCCACTACGAGAGACGCCATCCTCGCCCGAGTCAAAAAGCAAAAAGACACGCAGTCATCACATGCGCCTCCTTATCTTCCTATTTGGTTCTCTGCCACCTACGAAGACGTTCTTCGGGAACAAAAGACGTCTCGCAACAAGGCTCCATGCGCTCCCCTGCCTTCTACGCTATCCATGCCAGAGGAGACTTTGCCTCCACTGCGACCACCGACGCCAAGCCTCAAGAGAAAACGAACCCCGGAAGTCGACGATTCGCCTTTTACGATAGGTCAAACAGCGGCTGCGGCGCTCGCTGCTGACCGCCCGGCGCGTATCGTCCCCAAGCCCCTTCTCCGCAACAAGCGGACCGAAGAAGACGGCCCTCGACGCTGCGACAAGTGCGAGTCCGCGGAAGAGTCACCGGAAAATCTTCTTGTCGTCTGCCCTGTCTGCGGCTGGTCGTGGCATCAGCGATGCCACGATCCCGAAATCGGTGCCGGCTCGGTCCGCGACAGGGTACGCTTTAAGTGTGCAGAGTGTGTGAGGGAAGGGGCGGCCATCGATGCCTACAGACTGGACAAGCTCCACCAGGATCAGATCTCGTCGCGAGGTGTGGCGGACGTCGAGAAGCTGCGCAACGCAAGGCTCGCGGAGCTTCCAGCGTTTAACAAACCCGAGCTCGTGGGCTTCAAGGCAGGAGATGCGGACCGCGAAACGGTGAGAATTCTGTCGCTTACAGGCTTCCTCGTTATTCGGCTTGGCTCATGTTGCTGACTTGTCATAGCGTCGAGCATACTTTTCCTCTCTGAGAAAGACGGACGTCATCAATTTGTTGCTGTTCAGCGACGCAGTCAAAGACGGGCTTCTCATCGATGTCCTCGTTTCCATGTCGAAAAAACACCCGAACCTCCCCCTCTTTAACCATCCAGACTGGGCAGTTGTAAGCGCATTCACTAGACTCTTTCTCTAGCCGACCTTCTGACCAGTACTTAGGCCCTCACAACACCAGCCAGTCTACCTCGCCTTGCGCCGCCAAAGGTGCGTCAACCGGCGGCAAAGCCTGTCACCAAACGACCCAAGACGTCCGCCATTCGCAAGGTCCAGGAGACGGAGACCATTGCCGACCAGCCAGACGAGGAGCCGCTGCCTGGTATATGGCCCGAGGCCGGCATTGGTCTGTACAGCAAGCTGCCGCCCGAGCTGCCTGATCCGATCCTGTTAGGACAGAATGATGAGGAGGCATTCAGTGGGTTCATGATTGATCGAAATGGACGGCCCGTGGAGCCGGCCTTTGGGTAGAGTGTCGGGGTTGCTCGGCGGCCGACGCAAGTGGTTAGTGGTGGAAGTCAGTGCGGCGACGGGAGTGGTACGAACCGAGGACAGCCCTCAGATGCGCATCAGCAGGCGAACGGCAACAACAATGCAGACACGAGCCCAACATCTGACGTGAAGGGAAAGGCAAGAATGGAGACGCCCGCGTCCGAAGCTAGGACGGCAGAATCAGGAAGACAGCGAAGCGGCAAGTCCACCAGAGCACATCCAACCTCGAGCTCCGGCCCAAGCAGCACGAGCCTCGAGCCCTCACCGAAAGCGCAGAGGGAGTCAAGGCTGCTACAGAGTTGGAGCTGGTGGAGGGAACCGTCCACGGGAGCTCCAAATCGCAAGCACGGAGAAAGCAGTGGGAGGAAGACGTAGATGTGGCGAAGATTGCGATACCCCATAGTCATGTCAGTGCTCCCCCTCATGACGCGGATGCGCCTAGACTTGGAGTAAGGATTTCCCAGTAGTCACAAATGGATATGGTTCTTGTGGCAGGTGTGCCATTCATCTTGCTCTTTCGAGATTATGTTTTCAACATGTGGCCCAGCACCAGTTGATATTACCACCTCCTTCATCGTCCACCCCGTATCGAACTCTTGCTCCGTTGACCCCGCCCACTGCGGCCGCTGGTCAGTGACCTCCCGCCGTGCACCCAGTTCAGCAAGACCCGCCACCGCAACGCAACCCTCCCGAAATCCCACATTGCAATCACAAACACCGCGCCCGCGACGAGCCCGTCGCCCGTCTCGAACACGGTGCCCCAGAGGTGGTAGCCTGGCGTGAAGACTCTCGGCCCAGGTACGTGCGCCGCGAACGCGACGAAGACCGCCAGGAGACACGTGGCGATGCCCAGCCGCACGAGGAGGGTGACGGCGTGGGGGGGACGGAGAATGCTCAGCAGCGAGAGGAGGGTGTCGAAGATGAGGAAAATGAGAGCGGCTATGACGTTGTGTCTGCTCACGTGTTAGTCGAGGTTTTGCAACGCAAGAGCCTGATTAGACGCACCCTATCTGTGTCCCGGCTGCCGCAGGCTGGTCGTGGAGAAAAGTCGCCAACGCGGCGATAAGCACGGCGCAGAGGTGGATGTGGAGGACAGTGCTGGCGAGATGGATCCATGACGTGGAAGAAGGTGCTCGGTGGGAGCGATGCCGCGAGGAATGCCGCGACGGTGCACGAGGTTGCCGGTGCGGGACTTGGTGAGGTTTCGGAGCTGGTGGAGCGATGCTCATAGTCTGGCGATAGACGGACTTGTCCTGCTTCTTGGGCGGCGCGAGGGCCAGCGGCGGGGGACGTTTTGGTCTATCCATCATGCTTGGTGGTTCTGAATACCCGCCCGGTGATGTCGAGAGTGTCGTCGAGGTCGTACGGGGACTCGTCCGGCGAGCTGATCTGGCGCTCAGCGTCGGAACGTCTGCGGCGGGCGACCTCGGGTGCTGCGGCAGCGACTGTAGCCAAGGGGCAAGCGGCGCATGAAATAGGACGGCGACGACGACGGCGACGGGATGAGTTACAGTCAAGAGCCCAGTGGCGGCTACCTAGTTGTCTGAACCAGCAGACGCCGCGTCAGGTGTCTCTATGGTCGTCGCTGGCGTTGCCCGGACGGCTCGAGTGAGAGAGAGACACTTCGCAGCCAGACATCATGGGGCTCAGCTCAGATAACAATGACCGCAAGGCCACACGCATCGCGAAGTGGATGTTTGAATGTCGTGGCGTCAAGTGGCATGACCGCTGGAGACTTGCGATTGGGGCTTTGCGTTGGTTCACTGAAGGTTGAAGAGCAGGGATCGTGTAGCGAAGTCGTAGGGGCCCGCCGCAACTGGGGCATCGTGGCAGAACAGGGATATTGTCATCGTGCGTCCTTGGCACTAGAATTAACTCTACCCACATCATCATCTTCAGACGACCATGCCGATGGGACGCTTCCGAAACGAGGGATCGCTCGCCAAGTCGTTGATGCACCCACAAGCAACATGTTCACATGGAAGGTTCCTGAGACTGAAATGACCGCGCTGGCAGCTCAAAATTGGTTCGGTAATGTGATCTTCCTTGGTCTATGTTTTCTGATGTGGGTATCGTTGCGTCGTACCCCAGACACCCATGCTACTGCACGGCCCACGCCTGGCGTGATCGTCAACCTGCGACACGTCCAGGCCCTTGACACAACCTCCTCACCCCAGCTGGCGCATTGCCCCCGTTCTCATCTTGTCGTCGTCGCCGGGCCAGGGCGTCTTTTAATTCGTGAACTGCTCGGCTCCCGGGAAAGTTTGCGTGAGATGAGCCACAAAAAGTCCAGCCGCATCCCACTTCAGCTGGGCAAGCCTGGCATAGCATTACGGCTTGGTATCGTAACGGTGAAAGAAACGTGCCTCGGAATCTCAGCATCCGCGTCGGGGGCCTGGCTCAGACTTGCCTTTACGTCTTCATGGTCGGCGGTCTCAAAACACAAACGAACCAAGAACGGAGGAGGGTTACTGAGCGAACAGAAACACGCAACTGCCGACATGGAAACGTCCCTGTCAGCCAAACCGACTCGGAAGTATCTGTTGGTCATCACAGCCAGTCCCTTGGTACGAATCGTTTTCAGAGGCTGCACTGGCAAAGCCGTCATGCTCGTGTCGTCCTGCTCAAGAAGCAAACTCTAGGATGAGGTCGGTGCCCTTGGACTGCCCACTGACCATCTTGGCCGTTTTCGCTCCGAATTGAATCTGGCATGAACCACCCATGTTAGCCTGCGCCGTTGTTGCATTTCGTGGCAACCATCAGACGTTGCACATCAGACGAAGAGGAAACATACCGCCCGCTTCTTTTCCCGTGCCACGGACCGCATGCCCAACTCCTCGGCCAGAAGCCTGAGCACCCGCTTTGCAGGCTCGACCATAGTCTCGGTCTGTGGGTGATTAAAGTCACACTTGCCCCATGCTGGAGTTTCGACAGCCCACTTGACCAGTCGTTCGTCCAGAAATGGGAATCGGACCTCGCGACCCCAATGTGCCATGATCCTGTCGTCGCGGCCCAAATTGCGCTCGCCGAGGCGTCCAACATCGAGCTTCAGTTCGTCAACCAGAGCCTGGTAGCCTCCTCGCTCAAAGGCAACGGCATGTCGAGAATAGCCACCGAACAACTCGTCCGCGCCGAGGCCCGACAGCAGCACCCTGGCGGGCGTGGCGTAGGGCACTGGCTCGCTGGAAGGCATGGCCTGAGCTTCGCCGACGCCGCGGGCTGCAAAGTAAAGGGCGAAAGATATTGAAATGTCCATCTCCGTCCTGTGCGGGTACATCAAAGATACGACTTGGCTCCTGTGAGCGAGAGTCTCGGTGTAGGGGACATTAACCTCCAGCCTGTCGTCAGTCCGATGCATGCAAGGGTGCCGATTGAGTTAGAAGGACATGACGTACCGCCACAAATCTCCACCTCCTTGCTGGACACACCTGGACGAGCTCGGCGAAAGACTTTCTGCCCGTGACCCGATCAGGGCAGATCTCGTATATACTTTTGGTGGCGTCCTTACGCCGCGTACCGGCCACACGGGGGTTCTCGAACGCAACATTCAAGAGGTCGATACCCTGATCGGGCGGGAGTAAGTCACTCGCAAGGCGCGCAAGGACCGTGCAGTCCAAGCCGCCGGAGAAGAGTACAGATACCCTCGCATCATCCGTGATAGCAAGTTCCGTCCCTGAATGGGGAGGGTTTGGTATGTCCAGAACACGCAGTGCCAGCGAGTCTCTAAGTTGCTGGCGGAGCATCTGCACAGCTGCGGATTCAGGGACCAACGGAGCCGGCTCGCCATCTGGTAGAGCCGTGTTGAAAACGCCAATGTCGAGCACCTACGCCAGTAAGTAGCAGGAAGCCGATGCAACATAGAGGTCGTGACTCACCAAGTCTTTCTCTGAGCTGCCTAACCAGGGATAACGAGATACTGATCCAGCTACGTCCCGACCTTCGGCCCATGTCTGCAAATCGAACACGTAGATACCATCGGCCTCGACTTCGGACCAGCTGGGATCTGTGTCGCCTACGACACTGGCCAGAACCAGCCCTGCATCCTGTCGCTGAAGAAGAGATCGCCGTCCCAGGCGGTCGCGCCCGTAGTACACCTTGGACGACGCCCTGTCGAAGAACAAAAAGGCAAACGGCCCTTCGATGGCGCGCAGCACTCCTAGAACCGCTTCTTCGGACGATGATGCAGTCGCGCGAGCACCCTCCAAGCGCGCAAAGATGAGCTCGCCGTCGTTCCCGTCGAGCGCTCCGCCATCAACCCTCCACGCCTCGCCGTTCCAGCAGAAAACAGAGCCTCCCACGTCGTCTCGGAATGGTTGCGGCGTGACGTGGTCGCCGCGAAGAGCCAGAACGGTCGAGGTGAAGGATAGCGTGATGGGTGCAGAGCCCTCGAGTTGGACGGTCTCCTGGAAGTTCCCAAGATGATCGGGACCGCGGCAGGCAAGGCATCGCGTCAGGTCGTCCGAGACGCGCGCTCTCTCGACACCACGAGTGACGGAGGCGTGGATGCCACACATGATGTTACGCGGAAAAAGTCTGTTGCCTGACGGTTGGCGGCGTTGCTGAAGGTTTCGGGCAGATGCTTGCAATATTCAACGGAATGACATCTCACCAATTTCACGTGGTGCACGTCCTTTCCGTTGCGCTTCGCGTGCGCCAGCAAGCCACCACAAAAGTTCAGCCACTCCATCAGCCACCATAAACGAAGGCATGCCTTCCACACCCATGCAAGCAGTCCCTATAAATCTTGTCACATCAAGCAGGAACAGACTCTCGAAAATGTCTCTTTTTTTTATAAACGCAAAATGATCACTATTTTAATCTACGATACCCTCTGGTAGGATGGAGATGTAATCCACCGGCGCCGGCTCCTGCCCGTCGGGCTTTCCTACGATGCGAAGCGTGCTTCCATTCTCCACGTGCACGCCCTTGAATGTAATACGCGTCGCCGTCTGTCCATCAATGTACTGCGACGGCGCCTTGCCCAGAATGTATTCATGGTCACCCTTCCACTCGCCGACGAGGTCGTCATCGAGGAAGAGCGTCCACGTGGCGTTGCCGAGAGCCTGGTCGTAGTAGTTGACTGCGACGTTGTACGTTCCTGTCTCAAACTCGAGCTTCGTCGACGCGGTACCCTCGGTAGAGTTGTCCGCCGTCACGATGCAGTGAGAGCCGCTCGCAGCCTCGAATGGGTGAACCCGGTACGGCTTGTAGCCGTCGAGCTCCATGTCCTCAGCCTCGATGCGGTAGGGGTGGTTGCCCACGCGGCCAGCCTCGTCAGGAATGCTCGACTTGTTGAAGTAGAAGTTGTTGACAGAGTCACGCCACACCAGCGAGTGGCCAGCCTGATAGATGAGGCGGAAGAGCACATGTTCGTAGCGCTCTTCGTCAATCTTGTCCTTGAGGCTCTCCCAGAGGGGCACAAACGTCTGCGCCACGGCGCTGCCCTCGTAATGGGCGTCGTAGAAGTGCTGGATGACAGTCTTGCCGCTCTTGAGGAGCTGGGTGTAGGGGACGTGGTGGAACCAGAGCAGGAGGTTGTCGGGTGTGGTTTCGATGTTTTCGTACATCTCGTAGATTTCTTTGGGATACTGCCCGGCGTTTCCGGTGCCGTTCCACACGGTGCGGTCCATACCAATGCTGTTGGCGTCGGCACGCGTCCACTGACCCCAGGGGTTGTTGTCTTGCGAGGCGGGGTTGGGACCATAGTGGCCGTGGAGAATGTCGGTCAACGTCTGGACGCCTAGGTTGCCAGAGTAGTTCTCATACGCCGGCCACGACTCCATCGACATCTTCGTGATGGTGTCGATCACAAGAGGGTCGTGGTTGAACGTCATCTTGGTCCACTCCTCCAGAACCTCGACCGACTCCGCAGAAGGATCCCATGCCAGTCTGCCGTAAGCATACAGGTTGGACATGGCCAAATGGCTTCCGAGCCAAGTAGTGTTGTGGCCAACGTTGACGACACCGGCGTAACCTCCAAGTTTGTTGCCGAACCGTCTTCCGCTGACAATGCTCTTCAGCGTAGAGTCTTGGCCTTCAACGCGCAGGTCAAAGTCAAGAAGCTCTTTCCACATGGGGGCAAGGTAGACAAGATGAGCCTGCTGGCCAAGGTATTCTTGCGTGATCTGGAGTTCGACCGCACTGCCCGTCTCGTGCAGTTGAGAGAAAAGAGGCGACACAGGCTCACGAACCTGGAAATCGATGGGACCATACTTGATCTGGATAACAACATTATCGGCGAACTCGGTGTCAAGACCGTCAAAGAACTCGACAGCCGCGTTGGCACGATCAGCCTTCCAGTTGGCGTCCTGGTTCAAGCTCTGGTGATCGTAGACAAAGGCTCGGAACAGAATAATGCCGCCGTATGGGTCAAGAGTGTGGGCAAACATGTTGGCGCCATCGGCCAACGTCCTGTTGTATGTAATCGGTCCGGGTTGGCCTTCCGAGTTGGCCTTGACGAGGTATCCGGCCATGTCAGGAATCCGCTCGTACAGAGCGTCTGTGATACCCTGCCACCAGTCGATAACTTCCTGATCGAGAGGGTCGAAAGTATCGAGGCCTCCCAGCAGCTGAGGCGAGGCAAAATTAAGGGAGAGACCGAGCTTGATACCGTACGGGCGGAAGGCATCAGCGATGCGAGCAACGCCATCCATGTTCTCGGGTGTCAGAGTTGTCTCGTTGGCATTGACGTTGTTGACAACAACGGCGTTCAGGCCAATGGAGGCCAGCAGACGAGCATACTCGCCGACACGTGTCAGGTCTTCGCGGACCTTTCCATCCCAGAAGAAGATGGAATCACCGCCGTAGCCTCGCTCAACACTGCCGTGAGTTCCCCCATCGCGCATGTTGTCCCACTGGTTGACCCATCGAATCGGAGCGTCGGGGTTCGAGGTCAAGACTTCGTCCTTAATCTCGCCCTGTGCGAGGCGTGCGAGATATTTAAAGGCTCCGTATAGTGCACCTCGTTCGTTCTGTCCGAGGATCAAAACGTTGCCGCCAGAGATGTTGAGGTGGTATCCATCTTCGATGAGCTCGGGGAGTTCTTCAATGGCACCACCATCCTCGAGATATGCCTCCAGGGTGCCGACAGTGATGGTGGCTTCGTCCTCAGAAGCAACCCCAAAAGTCAACTCCTTGCTGAAGATGCTGTTGATGCCATCTGCGAGCTCCTTGCCGGCGGTGTGAATGGGAAGGCCTTCGGTGGCATTGAGCGTGACGATGACCGACGGCAGTTTGCCGTGGTAGCATTTGGCATGTGGGATTGGGGCGTACCGCAGCCATGCGGCCAAGCCGTCTTCGGCAGCGGCTAAGCCGAGAGTCGCGAGGAGAATCAGGCCGCGCATTTTGATGGTGGTGAAGCTCGCGATCCTCGTGTATTAGGTGAGAGAGCTTGCGCCTGAACAACGGTTTCGGTGCCCGGATCGCCGCCATCTTTATATTGCTTCAACCGCGGTTCGCTCCATGATGTACCGTGCCATGCAGGTTTCTCCGTCATAGGGATCGTCATGCTCCGGCTCGCTGGGTTCCAAGGTTCCATCGTCTCCAGGCTGTGGGGGAGGGCCGCCGGATGATACGATGCCTTTAGCCTGTTTGTTCGACATGACTTGGACATTATTTGGCGTGCGGGGCCAATTGAACCGGCTCGGCGCTGTGGGACCTGTTCGCGTGCATTCGAGTCAGAATGGTGCCGTCTAGGTAGCTGTGTGTACTGGATTACCCTTGGTGTGCTTTTGGCGACGAACATGACGTTTACCAGCCAGCGGTTGAGAGAGCAGGCGGCCGAGGCGCACTCTTGCCCCTTGTCGCGGGGTACCTGGTGGGGTAAAACCAAGCTTCAAGCCACGGCAGATGGCGGGCAAAGTGCCCTGTGCAACGAGCCAAACTCAGGGCCAATGCCGGGTAAAAGGGAGAAACAGGAGCTTTGCAGAGACGCTAGGCGCAACCAAGGTGATGATCGTCGGGCAGAGAGCTACCGAGATGGGATTGGCAGCTGCTAAAGACGGTGCGATAGGCTTCTGTAGCAAACACGTCGCGACGTATGACGGCTGAGTCGCTTGCGTGGACATGGGCCATTCACTCAGTGAAGCAAAAGAACAATTGCCACAAGACTGAAGAGGTCAAGAAATTCCGAACCAGGGAATCGAACCCTGAGCCTGACGGTGAGAGCGTCAAATGTTAGCCATTACACCAGTTCGGATACTGGTTCACAGGAATTGTGGCGCAGCACAGACTTCATGTAGCCAGTAGGATAGAGCTAACTACAGGCATGTCCGCGTCGAAGCTCCTGCGGGTAGGGGTGCATTGAGGCACCGACGGGGGGTGGGGGCGGAGGAGGTAACGGATGAGCAATGGCATTGACTGGCCTTGTGCTTCTTGAATTTTGTTTTACACCATGTGCCAAGCTTAAATAATGAAGGCGGCTAGAAGGGCAGGACTGTCGCGATGGTCTTGTCTGGTGTTGATGTAGGTATGGTGGAACGAAGTACCCAGTGGACATTTCGCTTCCGAGACGTGTTCCTGACGTCAGGTTGGCACTTAAACCCACCTCGGTGCCTTACTTTATCAAGCTAACTGTATGCTGGGCAGTGCTTCCCCGGTTCTTGTCCTCCGTCAGGCGGCAAGCCCATGCGAAGCCAGGCAAACCTCTCCAGACGGGAGCACCTGCCAGCGTCTGGCTCTGTGAAACGTCGCACTGTTCCTGCGAGTACCCGATTCGGATTAGCGTATAACCCCCTGGATCAATCACGTCCGTCGCCAAGTTGACACGACTCTTTTCTTGATGAGAGTGAAGCCTCCGTCGAGAACAAAGAGCGAAACCTTCGCTCCCACTCACTAATCAACGACTATCTCATCAGGGCAGACGTCATCTACGGCCACTTCAGCACACCCTTTCGCAGCATGAAAGCCTAGGAGAGGAGAGCCCAGTACTCTGACCCACAACCACCATGGCAAGAGGACTCTCATCACCTCAGGCCATCATCCTCATCCTCCTTCACATCGTCTTCCTCGCGTCTACCGTGCTCGCTTATCAGCCGCTCGACGATGACTGGTTACGCAACATCACATCGAGCGACGACGAGCTAGACCCCAAAAACGGCGCACTTCTCGCCCCCATCCTCATTCCTCGTGTGCCCGGCACGCCGGGTCAGGTCAAGACCCAGGCGCACTTTGTCAACTTCTTCAAGACGCAGCTGCCCAAGTGGTCCATTCAATGGCAAAACTCGACCGGGAAAACCCCTGCCACTGGCAACAAGGACATTCCGTTCCAGAACCTCATTATCCGGAGAGAACCGCCCTGGACGAAGCCCGGCCAGACCAACTGGCTGACCCTCGTCGCCCACTATGACAGCAAGATCAAACCTGACGGCTTCATCGGCGCCACCGACAGCGCTGCGCCATGTGCCATGCTGATGCACGTCGCGCGCTACATTGATCCCTACATCACGAAGATGCAGGACGAGATGGTCGGCCTCGGTGAGAGTGGTGGCACCCCCGCCATGGACATGGGCATTCAGATTCTTCTGCTCGACGGCGAGGAAGCGTTCGTGTCCTGGACTGACACCGATTCTCTCTACGGATCACGGTACGTTGCGTGTTTTTGTGACATGTGCTGTTAACTGACTAACATGGTCCCCCAGGTCCCTCGCCACCGAATGGGAAAATCCTAATCCGGCCATGTCTTTCTACAAGAACCCCTTGGACCAAATCAGTGTATTCGTCTTGCTTGATCTCCTCGGCGCCGCCAACCCCTCCATCCCCTCCTACTTTACGCCAACCCACTGGGCCTACCAGAACCTAGCTTCTATCGAAAACCGCATGCGCAAACTCCGTCTCCTCGAGTCCAAACCCAATGCACCTTTCCTGCCCGATGGTGAGCTGAACTCTAAGGAGCTCCGCGGCGGGTTCGTCGGCGATGATCACGAGCCCTTCATGGCAAAGGGTGTTCCTATCTTGCACCTGATTCCGACGCCATTCCCGTCTGTGTGGCACACGATGAACGATGATGGGGACCATCTTGACATGCCGACCGTGAGGGACTGGACCAAGATTGTGACGGCGTTCGCCATGGAGTGGCTAGACATGATGGAGCTGAAACCCGCCGATGCACAGAGGTGATGGATTGCGTGTACTTTTACAGCGACTTTTAGCGGACTCAAATGACAGGCGTTCTTACTCCAATGGACTCTATGTTGTCGACGTCACGCTATGATCACTTTCGTACCTTGGTGGCGCTAAGTCGCGGCTGCTGTCAAGGTTGGCCGCAACCTTATTCCTGGAATTCTATGACAAGCACGCCATATGAAGTTCTGTTGGCGTTTCTTTTATTTCAACTACGCATCTTCAAATTGTCTGCCGCCTGTGCATCGAAAGCTCACTGGACACAATATCCACCAGCCAATGTGGACCAACTTGGCATCAACAGCGACATCCAATATGACAGACTCTACGATACTGAGTCTCAGTACATCCAACAGCGATGTCCCTTCGTTTTCGTCCTTCAGCTCAAGGAGTGACTTGACCCTCATCATAGGGCAGGCTGGTGTCATGGCCATGGTCGAATCTCACCGACTTATCTCGTCCTCTGCAGTATTCCGGGCGATGCTGACTGGCCCTTTCAAAGAGTCCAGACCTGCCGACAGGGGCAGGCGGTGGGAGGTTCGCCTATCTGCTGATGACCCTGAGCCTCTTCTCATTATTTTGAGGTGTCTGCATATGGGCGAGGAGGCGAGCAGCGATCTGATCTGTGAAGCCACAGATTGCAGGAGACAAGCTCTTGTGAATATTGATCAGGAGAAACTACTTGCACTCTTGAAGGTAGCAGAAATGTACGATCTACTGGGACCTCTCCGTCACTGGCATACTCCTCTGATCGTGAGTCGATGGTTCAAACCTGCGATGGCAAAGGCTCTTCCGATTCATCTCACTATTTCTTGGCACCTTGCTCAGGAGGGGTTGTTCGCACAGACATGCTTGATGTTGGCTTGGGATATCGAAGTTCACGAAAACGGGAATATCTTTTTCAGTGACGGTCATGAGAGGACGGACTGTCGAGGCGTGAACTTCCTCCTTCCACCAAGCGTCCTCGGTATGTTGTCGCTCACCTGGGCTCAGCCTTCTTTGCTCACATACGTAGAACAGGTCGTGGTGTATCGTACTGACATCCTCGGACGCTTGCTCGGACCCATCCGAACGGATTTGAAACGACTGCGCTCCCACAAGTCCTGCCAGAAAGCCGGCGTCGTCGCCAGAAGGGAGCGTCTGTTATGCGGCCTGACAGCACTCGGCGGCATCTATGACCTCGCGCGCGCCGACAAAAGCATCGCCATCGTCTTACGGATCGTTTTTGCGGATCAACCAGCTCGGACCTATACCTCGACGGTTCGCCGCATTGTCATGTGGACGAACTTTCTGTTCAGTTGCAGTGCGGAGAAATATCCGGGCCACGAAACTTGCAGCCCCTTTCCCAACCTCGAAGGCGAACCCACGTACACCTTCCCGATCAGGCCCGTGGCCCCGGACCTGCTTAAAAAGATCCGAGCCAGGGCCGAAGAAGCTAATGGACCGAGGGCGAGAGAGCTCGCTCACACAAAGATGACGGTATTAGGCTTTCGGGTTCCAGCTCGTCGCTGGGCCTAGGCAAGGGTTCATCCATCGTCGCGCAGCGACTACTGATCGAGCAAGTTGGACCCCCCTCCCCACTCTTGGACAGTCGTAGTCACATCAGGTTTTCAGAGGAAGCATCGAAAAGATCTAGAAAACAAGAATCGAAATTTATTATCGTCAATATGTATCTGGTTCTATGCGTATGTACTGTCTTTTCTTTCATTCGCTCATTCCCTATCCGATTCATGCTGTCCAATGCCAGGTATATATGCTAACTTCGCCACCATGGCCGCCCATCCTCTAAAATGCGCGATTGTAGAGGCGATTGCGGTTTGAGTGTCAAAGAAAGCCGGGCCAAACTTGACCACTCTGCCCTCCTTAACCCTCCAATGTATCGACTGACCAACGAAGGAGAGTCGACTTAAGCCTGCCAGGAGTCGGTCCTGGTGGCGCTGGTGGTGCCGCAGGCCGAAGGGATGCTGTAGGAGCGGTTGGGGTCCCTCTCCCAAGTGACGGCGCCGTTGGAGGCAACGTTGATGTACTTGTACTGGATGGCCTGGCCAGCGGGCAGGCTCAGGGTGCCGCTCCACACGGGGTTGGATGAGGTGTACTGGGAGGCGCTCAGGGAGATGGCGTTGGCCGTGTTCCAGTTGCCGAGCTGAGGAATGTTGCCGACAATCTTGACGGTCTGGCCGAACTGGGTTACGACGCGGGCGTTGAAGGTGATGTCAACGTTGACGGGGGGGACGCAGGCGGCCGTGGTGGTGGCAGCCGGGGCGGTAGCCGTGGTGGCAGTGCCGGTCGGGGCTCCGGTGGCGGGAGTCTGGTTGGCCGGGAAGCTGGTCGCGGTGGCGCTGGTGTACGAGCCCTGGACGGAGGTCGCGAAGCAGGTGTTGGGGACGACGCTGGCGGCAGAGTTGGCCCAGCCGAGACCAACAACCTCGCGGCGACGCTGAGCGACGGTCAGGAACGAGGCGTACGACCAGGTGAGATCGCGGGCAGAGAGGGGCTGGCCCGTATTGCGGTTGTACTGCTCGGCAATGTTGCCACTGCCGGGGATGTAGGTGGCGGCGACATCAACGTAGCCGTCAGCGTAGGCCTTGACGGCGGAGAGGATCGAAGTGTAGGTCGAGGAGGTGGAAGCGTAGGTGCCGGTGGAGATGCCGGGGATCAGAGCCTGGAAGAAGGGAAGCGAGACCGAGGTGACGCTGATGGAGCTGCTGCGCTTCCAGACGTAAATGGCGTCGTACAGCTGCTCAGCCGCGGCGAAGGTGTTGAGGTACCAAGGCTGACCGCCATAGTACGAGTCCTCGGGGTAGCGGCCAACGGCGACGGCTTGGCCCTGGCCCTTGCCGTTGTTGATGCCGTAGATGGATCGGAAAGAGTCGGTCACCACCTTGTGGTTCGACAGAGCACGGTCACTGCAGGGCTGGAAGGTGGAAGCGTCGCAGCCGAGGACAGGGTCGAAGTTGTGGATGGAGGTGAGGATGGAGTTGGCATCCTTGCCGTTGCGGTAGCTGCCACCGTTGATGTTGGAGATGACGTAGCCCTGAGAAGGGTTCCAGAAGCGCTGCTGGAAGCAGAGGATCTGGGGAGCGATGCCGGCGCAGCCGTTGCAGGTCTGGCCGAGCTGCTGGGCGAGAGCAGCACCCTCAACGAGGGAGCGGTGCTGGGAGGCGATGGTGAAGAAGGACGAGCCCTGAACCTCCTCCCACAGGTCGAAACCGGTCTGGTTCCAGTACTGAGTGACGTAAGCCAGGTCATTCCTGATGATGGGCCAGACGACGGTGTTGGCGGTCGAGGTGTAGCCGTTGGCAATGAGCCACTTGGAGTACTTAATCAGGGCGATGGCGCGAAGAGCCGGGCCGTCGCGCTGGGGGCGGCCCCAGTCACCGGTGAACTGTGCTCCGTTGGCGAGATACTTGGCCTCGCCAAGACCGGCGCCGCTCGAGAAGCTGCCGGAGGGATTGTTCACAGTCTGCAGCTTGGCCTGGCCGACAATGAAGTTCTGGATGTTCTGCTGGAGACCCGCATCGTAGTTCTCGACGAACAGGTCAATGATGGCCTTGAAGACAAGACCAGCATCGCGAGTCCAGTGGAAGAAGTCTAAGGGGAACTGTCAGTTTGTCTCATCTTGTCTTCGGGGCAGGTCTTTTGGGACATACAGTCAGGGTCCGACTTGCTGGGCGAGGCGATAACGAGACCCGAGGCGACACCGGCAGAGTTGCAGCCGTTGGGGCCAATGTTGCACAGAAGCTGGGCCCGGGCAATGGGCAGCTCCTGCTGGATCCACTGATCAACGTTGACCCTCTTCTCGAGAGTTCCGGGGAGACCAGAGACGGACTGGATGGCCAGGCCGCCAAACGACAGAATGGATGAGAACCTCATATTGAATTGATACCGAGCCGAGAGCGTAGAACCGTGATGGGATTGCTGATCTGCGGAAGGATGGATTTCAAACCTTGAAGTTAGAGAGAACGTGGCAATTTATAGAAGTGCTTGAACGAAGCCGTTACGATGAGCCGACCTAGTCTCCATACCAGTTGGAAATAGCACAGGACGGATACATCGCATGAGGCTATCTCCACACAGCAAGCAGTTGCAACGCTTCCTATAAAGTCGGGCCTTTCTCGGATGCCACTAGAGAAACATGGCGGCCGAAGCCCGAGTCCATGGCGGGCCGGCGTATTTGCTCAAGAGTCGACTATAGTAGCCAGAATGACCTGGGGTCCCAGAGCGGGAAACCACATCGCCGGCTGGAGCCGCAAGGCCAGAAAGGTCTGTCAATGCACGTTGCCGAAGACTGAGTTGGGGAAAAGACTCTCGGTTCGTGGATCGCTCGTCAGTAGAAGGGCCGAGCTGTTGTTTACAGGCGCAGCCCATGGAAAGCCACCTGGGCTCTTCGACGAGCAACATGCGGCCGTGAGCGCCTCATTTGGACGTACTCCGGCGCTTATGCTGGATGATTCTGTAGTTCAGGACTTCGGGTTGCATCGCTCCAGGTTCAGAGGCGCCACCCGTGCATGCGAGGGGCAGAAAAGCACGGCACATAACCCGGTTTAGGGGGTTCAATGCTGGTCATGATCCCCTCACTGGGCAGACAAATGACCTACCCCACATACCCTGGGCGTTGAGGTCTGGATCACACGTGCAAAGCCCCAGATTCTTCCCCGCAGCTCAAAAGCCGTTGCAAGCATAGTGGCTTGCAGGCTTGAACGCCTGAAGAACCTGGGGACAAGGGTAGGTTCGGCCCGAGGCCGTCAGGTTGGCATTGCGGAAGAGAGGCACACGATAGTGATGCTACAGCTGTTAACGGGACAGTGTGACTCTGGGCTCCAAGCCGACGTATCATTTGATTCTCTTGCATTGTTGACTAGCAAAAAATTTAGATAGATTATAGATGGAGTGGTTAACCCAAGAAGCTGGCCGCTTGGCGCATACTGAATTTGAGCTTTTGACGCTCATGGACTTGGCCAGCAGCATGCCGTGGTAGTCCCCGGTCCCCGCCGGCATTGCGTGCCCCCTGGTCTGTCAGTCGCGCCGATGGCCGATCGAGTAGGACCGATGTGACGAAATGAAAGGGGGTTTCTCGAGGGTGACAAGGTGAAAATCACGGAGAGGGGCGATCGACAGGCGGGAACCGAATGCCAAGGGGCATGCAACGGATTCTTCCGTGACCACAACTCCCGCTTCATGTGTGCCACAATCCACGTTCTGTTCCTCCTTGCTGGCACATTTTCGTGGTTACTTAAGAGTCGACATGGGAATATTACAGGAAGTATGCGCTACGAAGCGAAAACTGTAGGGCGTCATAATCCTTTTAACATTGTATCATCAAGAGGAGCGCGCTTGGGTCGCAATCCTTTCCTTGATTAGGGCACTGTATGCGCCGCTGGATGAGTATACCGAGTGGATCATCATGTCTACCGTGAGCCAAAAACAGTCGCGATCACCTCTTTCGTGTTCCGTACTTGCGCGAATTCCCCGTCTAAACTGGCAAGCGTAACAGCATGCACCGTCTCCGCATCGAAGCTAGCTCTTGGGTGTGTAGCCGTAGCATCATCGGCCACGATGATTCCATGAACTCCCTCCCCGGTTCCATCTGGACCACCCTGATCGCCCAGCACCTGCAGATTGGCTGCCATGCGGACAGTAGTGTTGACGCAGTGGTCTGTTGTCAGGCCAGTCACAATGAGCTGGCCGGCGCCAAAAGCACGCAGACGAGCCTCCAGGTCGGTTCCAATGAAGCCGGAGTTCACATATTTCACCAGAACCGGCTCTGAAGAAAGCGGATTGACGTATTCCATTGGTTCAATAGCGAGTATGTCAGTTCCCGGAACCTTCGCCGATGGGTGCAGGGCTGAACCTGGACTGGTGGAATGATGGTGGATGTGGACGATCAAGACGGGCTGAGGCTTGTCGATTTTGGCCTGAGCCTCGTTATGGGCCCGCGCGGCGCTGAGGAGCGCGGCAATGTTGTTTTCGAATAAAGGGTTGCTACGATGCGCACCCCAGTATGTTGGATGTTTGAAAGCCTGCTGGACATCGATAATGACGAGAGCTGTGGGGGTCGAATGCGCAGACTTCATGATGACAGCCGCTTGAGGGAGCTTCATCAAGATATGGGTAGAAGCTGAAGCAATGGGTGTCTGAGCTGCGGAGTGTCAATGAAATTTGCGCGGTTAGTACAATGCGAACGACGGGAGTCTACGTGGCGAGCGTAGTTCATGTTCACAGGTTCCCTCCATACAACACCTGTGAGTCATGATTCACGATGGAGTATACCTCAGATCTGCTTACAAACCCCACCAATCACCTTCGATTTGTACTCCGCACACTGTCCCATAAGCTACAAGTAAGTCAATTTGTCTGGCTCCTCAAAGCTCTCAGAGCTCCTCACCGTCATGTTAAGATGGACCAAGGGTTCCATGATATCACCCGGGCTCCTGGTAGAAGTGCCTTGCTATCTTCTGCCTGGTCGGAAACGGATTCTAGTCAAAACCCAGCTTCCAAATATCACCTAGTCTTTCATTATTCTCGTTCAGCCCCCCATGCACAATGATGGACTCATTTCTGTCTCCGCCCCTGACCACATCGGCGTCGAACCAACCACGTGGCTCTGGGATTTGACCTGGTATTTTCAACTTCTGCCATTTTCTTTCCCTAATGTCCCAAGCCCAAGCATCAGGCAACATTTTGCCGGCACCTGCATGCCCAAGTGCACTGGGATCCCGCTCCCCGAACATTGTGATTAGGTGGACATTGCCATGTATCATAACTGGTAGCAAGGTTCCAACGCTTCTGGCTTCTGGACCTTCCATGTTGTCTGGATTGTAGGAAATGGTGTTCCATGAAAGTGAGGGAATGTCAAAAACATCCAGAGAGCCCCCCTGTTCATTGATGCCATCGAAACCGTTGACTCGATATAGTTTGCCGTCGGCGTATGCGATGGAGGCACCACCTCTAGATGGCGCGGGCGCTGATGGCAATTCTGACCAAGTCCTCTCCTCGGTGTCGAACATCCAGAGATCCGCTAGTCGTCCAGTCTCTGGACACCCAGAGTGAACGAAGAGTTTGCTTTTGCCATCTGAGGCCACGCAATGATAGCTGCGCCCCGCAGGATACGGCGCGGCTGGATCGGCGGGCTTGACCGAGCTCCAGTTGGCAGCGCCTGCTTCGTAACGCCACAGCGCACCCTGTTCTTCGACGGGTTTCATTTCAATCCCTCCGCGGCCAGAGAATATCCAGATACTGCCATTGATTGTGGCGCTGGGGCTGCCGACGCGTGGGATAGGAGCCTCTGCCGGTGCGGGAATTGTCTTCACGGTCGGGTTGACTGATCGCTTAGCAAAGGCAGGACGTTGCATGGACCTCTTCCTACCATTTTCGTTTTCGACATCGATTATGTCTATTTGATTATCGATGGGCTCGCGGGGCACCAACTCGCCACCAAAAACATAGGTTTTCTGGTCCACGACTGATACGGCGTGTGATGATCGGCGGAGGCGCTGGCTGGAGGCAATGAGAAGCCACTTGGCGGATAAAAAGGCCATCTTGTGGGTAAATAGATAGATAATAAGTTCCAATGATCACGGGAAATAGGAAGAAAGAGATTGGATCCTGCAGCATGCCTGGGACGGCCATCTTTATCCTTCATTTCCAGTCACTGAAGGCTCTACTGACTTCTAACACTTCGGAGTCTACATCCCGATTATGTAACCATATACACACACACACACACACAAGTTTATTACGCCTGGTGGCCTAGAGCCAATAAGGCACTATTTGCTATTGTACACGGTCGCTTCCTCTAGTCTGTCCGAATCTCCCAAGCCCATAATAGGTCATCTTTCCGCTCTTGCTTTCTCGTCTTCTGTCTTGCCGCCGGTTTCTCGTGGGGTTTAGATTGTATTGGCAAGCTGCTTGAAGGCTATTCTTCAAGTGTTCAGAGTCCTATCTACGGCGACTGAAGCGGCGCTTACTGTTGTTGACACGAGGTGTGGGTGTTAGGTTCGGTTAGTAGAAGAAGGGGGGGTTTTGGTGTGTTAGGCCCCCGCAAGGGATCACACGTTCTCCAGTCGGCCCGTGGCCTTCGCAAAGCGTATCGTAGCTCGGACTGCTTTCATGTCCGGCTTCCAATCATCACCATCTGATGTCGTCTTACCTCCCAAATGGAAGGAGATGTTGTCTCTTTGTGTGCCAGGGCGCATGAGTGTCTCGGCTCGTTGTGTTGCCCATCGTGTGCATCGGAGGAGAAAGTGCTCCACCGTCTCTCTCGCTTGTCCGCATGCGCATTGGGCTGAAGCTACTGCCCTGATTCGGAAAAGTGAGGCGTTCAGTCTCGCCATGCCTGTCCTGAGCTGGGCCAGCATGCTCGCCTCCATCCAGGAAAGGTTATCATATAGTTCTCGAGTGTGCTTGCCGGGTAGTGCTATGTCGACTTCCTTCGAGAGTTTTCCAACATTATCTGGTAGTCGTCTTTCCACACGTAGTTTGCGCCTTGCAGCGTTGAGGGTGGTGGATCGCATCTTTGGGAACTGTTTTTCAGGCAAGGCGCCATCTCGGCTGGCCTTGCGTGCTTCTCCTTTCGCTTTCTTCAGGAGGTCGTCGTCGAGATGGCTCGGAAGCCACACGACTGAGATGGTGTTCCCGGTTTCTCGCAGTCGGGTGATCGCCTCGTAGATGCAGCGAACGTACTCTTGTCCAGACTGTTGTTGGGGGTTTCGAAGTGTCAGCACCGCGGCTTTGTTGCTTGTCAGTAGCGTCACGGTCTGCCCCCTCAGCTGCGGCAGAAATCGCAACGCGTATGCTGCCGCTACCAGTTCTCCGGAAAATGGGTTCTGATCGGTCCTCATGCCGTGGGTGAAGGAAAACGTCTCGAGCCTCGTCCCTGGCCCCTTGACGGTTCCACCGACGCCGACCACCTCGTTTCGTGCCGAGCTGCTCACAGCGATGCGCACCGTGGCCTCCTCATCGACCCGCGTCAGTGTTGCATCCTCGTCGTTCCATTCAGTGACGGTCTGCACTCTTTCCATCCACGGCGGCAGTGTGAATGGGTTGATTGTTTCCAGGTCCTCCATTGGAATTTCGTTGAGCGAAGTTGCCAGTTGGAAAAATGGTGAGCGGTGGAAGCGCCTGAACTTCTTTATGCGAGAGGTCAGTTTTCGAAGCGGGTTGGTCTCAGGCAATGCGTGGAGATCTGTCCATAGCTTGATGGCCCTTCTCGTGAATCGCTCTGGTGCACTGGCGATGTGAGCCTCCGCTTCTGCTACGCTTGTGGCTATCGTGACGAACGCTCCAATAATTGCCTGCGCTCCGACCTTTTGGACGCGATAGATTGCTGCTGCCGTCCGGTCTTTGCATCGGTGCCTCCAGACGTTAGAGGCATAGTCCACCACTGGGGCCACGGTGGCCGTGAATAGCTGCCGTGCTGTCGCCGGGGTCAATCCTCTCAGTCGTTTCAGCTCCATCGCAGCCTCTAGTCCCTTGGTCGCAACTCTTGCAATGTGTTCCCTGTATCTGAGTCCAATGTCCATGATCACGCCGAGGATCTTGACATGCTGTTTGGGTTTGACTGTTTGGCCCTTGATAGTGAAAGGTTCCGAATCGGACCTTTTGGCCCATCGGGTGAAGTGGATGACCGCCGTCTTGTCCGCTTCGAAAGTCGCCCCGCTTCTCTGCTCCCAGTCCAGTGCCTTCTCGATGATCGCCTCGATCCCTTTACGGTTGTCTTGCGTGGTTGGTCCAGCGACCCAGGATGTGAAGTCGTCGACAAAGGCTATAGCTCCTCCATAGCAGTTGATCTTCTGTTGTACAAGGTCGGCGTTGAAGAACAGAAACAGGATCGGTGACAGTGGCGATCCTTGCGGTAGTCCAGCCTGAGGCAGGGTCCGGACCTCTGATGCTTGGCCGTTGACCTGAATTGTCGCCGTCCGATCGGAGCAGAATGCCTCTACCCAACGGAGCAAATCTTCTGGGAGGCCCCTCGCTCTCATTCTCTGAATGAGTCTCTCTTTGCATACTCCATTGTATGCTCCCTTCACATCGAAGCTCACGAGGCTGACCACCCAACGATTTCTCCATGCTGCGTAGATTTGTTCTTGCAGCAACACCAACGCTTGTTCTGCTGACCTCTGTTTGCGGGCCCCGAAGTGGTTCGTGGGCAACAGCCCATGGGTTTCGACTGCATGGGATATCCTCTCCGCAACAACCGACTCGAGAACCTTGCCGAGCGTGGCGAGGAGCGAGATGGGCCTCCAAGCCTTGGCGATGGTGTAGTCTCCTTTGCCGGGCTTCTTGAGCGGGATGATCTTGGCATGCCTCCATTGGTCGGGGAGTACTCCTTCCTCTAGCGATGCGCGGAAAATCGCAAGGACACTGTGCTTGACGGCTGGCCAAATCTGTTTCCAGACCATCGCCGGCAACCCGTCCTCACCGGGTGCTTTCCACGATTTCGTCGCGAAAAGCCGGCGCTCGACTTCTTCCATCGTGATGTCAGGCATGGTGACAGCCGATTCGCGCTGCGGCCTCTCACCCTCCTCTTCGATGTGCTCTGGTGGGGGCGGGAAGAAAGTCGTAAGCAATTCTTCCGCTTGCTCTTTGCCGTTGGTCGTCCGTGTGCCATCAGCCTTTACAAGCTGCGGCACCTTGCCGAATGCCGCGTCGTCGCCCGACTTGAGATACTTGGCGGCCTTCCAGATGTTGTCGTTGTCGGCCAGAAAGTCGTTCCAATGGGTTTTCTTCTGTTGTCGAATGGCACCGTGGTATTGTTTCGCTGCTCCCTTGGCCGTGTTCTCCAGTGCTTCATCGTTCCGTCCTGCCCGTCTCGCTGCCCTCGCCCGGTTCCTCCAATGTGTGTGGATGTGGCGGAGCTGCGTAAGATCCGCCGTCCACCACCGCTTCGCGTGTGGCGATGGTTTGGCTTTTGGTGTCAAGGCCTGTACTGCTTCCAGCACCACTGACATGAGTCTGTCCGTCTTCTCTTGGACCGTGCCTTCCATCGGGGCTGTCTCGAGTGCAGTGGAAATTCGAGTGTTGATTTCATTCCATGGCGCGTTCTTGTACAGAGGTCGGTCCTGGATTTTCGGGGCCGGCACTGATACATCAAAAATCGTTTCGATGGTGCGGTGGTCCGACCCGTGCTCTGTTCCGTTCGTCGTACACTTGATCATGGCCGCAGCTAGGTCTTCTGATACCAGCACCAGGTCGATTGTCGACTCGTGGTCCCCGCCTTGCCAAGTCTTCGTGCCCCTCGGGAGCATGCTGCAGAGGGAGAGCTCGTTCATCAGGTCGATGATGTTGTCGGCTTCACCCTGTCGTACCGGAGACACGTCGTCTCCTCCCCATAGTTGATCGTGGCGATTGAAGTCGCCCGCAATGACCACGTCCACCACCTCTCCTGCGGCTCTCCTGGCGTCCGCGACCGCTCTACGTATGGTGTTGCACGCTTCCTGTAATGCCTGGGTGTCCATCCCCTGCACGTACACGGACACCACCAGTACCAGTTTCCCTGGAAGCCGCAACAATGCTGCTGTCATGTCCGGAGACTCTATCCGCACCTGTTCAGCCTCCAAATCCTTCCTTACCCAAAGCATGCTTCGGATCGCCCATCGTCCTTCCCCAATCGTTGGTGGGACCATCTTTGTCCATCTGTGATGTCCCATCGGCGTCGTCAACAGCCGTCCTTTGATCATCCGTGCCTGTGGTTCCTGGATCGCCAGCACCGCTACGTCCTGAATGTCCTCGTCGTTCATGAGGCTCTCGTGAACCTCGCCGCGTTTTCGCACATTGAGTTGGATCATACGGAGCGTACTACTCATTCAAAGATGGGTAGAGCTTCTTGCAGTTTCTGCTGAAAGATGCATGGGGACCTCCGCAGGGAACACACTTGAGGATAGTCTCAGTGCAGGCACTGTGGTGGTGCCCCTCCTTGGCACATTTCCCGCACACCTGGGGTCGGTCGCACTGGTGAGCTTTATGGCCGCGGCCCATCTGTTGACAGTTGTAGCACTGGTCGAGGCGAGGACGAGATTCGAAGACCTTGGTCCTCCCAGATTGTCCTCCCGCATAGGCGTAGCCCTCCGCGAGTAGCCTTTCCGCGTCCGCTCTCTTCGTGAGGTACATAACCATTGAGCCGTATGCCTTCGGGACGTCCCTGTTACTTAGCCAGCCTACTTTCGCAACTTGTACGTCGTTTTCTTTGCCAATCTCCTCCGCGGCCCCACTGCGGATGGTGTTCGCCTCATCCAAGACCACCATGCGGCTCACGTAGTCGACTTTGACAGGATAGAGTTCGTCTCGCAGCATCCTAGCTCCTCGAGGCAGCTTGGCTTCCACCAGTTGTTTCACCATGGCGTGCTCCTGCTCGTTTCTGCAGGCAATTCTGATTCGAGGCTTCTTCGGGTCCTTGGTCACGGCCAGGCAACGCCACTTGGATTGGCTTTGGTCCACCCTGACCTCGCCTTCCGTAAGGGTACGAATAGCGCCCGGTGTGAGCTGTTCACCTTGTTCGTCCTCCATCCTGGATGTGTCGATCGTGCAGAAGACCATGTCTATTGGCGTCGGTGGCGTTGTCATGGTAGCCTGCCTCGTGTTGCTGAGTTGGCCGGCCTGTGGCATCCGGGCAATGTCTGCGTAGGACGGCCCCGATCTATCCTGCCCTGCGATCGTCGTAGTGACTGTTTCGATGCTCGCACGCAGGCTCTGGGTTTCATTCGTGGTCGCATGGAGGGCTTTCCTAAGCTTCTCCACTTCGTTCTGGAGCTCTTCAATTCTTGTCGACTGTGACTGGGACTCTTCCAGGACCTTTCTCATGATCTTCGTCTGTAGTTCCATCTGTTTCTCCATAGCGCGCAGCAACGCTCTTCCGTCCGGCTGCCCTCCAAGAGTCCCGGAGATTGGTCGTCGCACCGTCGGTTTGGTACCGCGCCTATTGGCTCTTCGCTCCGTGATTTCCACATCGTCGGTCGGCTCGTTTCTGGCTTGACCCTCGGTCGCTTCATCATTGATATGTTCATCGTCGATGACTTCGTTGTCGATGGATCGATTGTCGACGACCTTGTTGCTCGGCTTGCGCGTCGATCGAAGCTGTCGTCTCACACCACCATTCCCCCATTCTCCATCCGACGCAACATGGATCGTGTCGCGTTCGTTCGCCATGGCTGCAGGTGGGGCGCCACGTGGAATGGGATCCACCAGTTCGCGTCGCGCCGTCCCACGTCAAAGACCAACCTGTCCACGATCAATCTGATGCCGTAATAAGTCTCTTCCTCTTTGAATTCTGTTCACTTTGGGTACAGACGTGATCGGTCGCGTCGTTTCGCTGCACATACAGTAGGACCCGGAATCGGCGTCCTCTCTAACCATATACAGCTTGTCGAGACTGCCCTAATTCAGGGAGGTGAGTGAACCCCACACTTTTCAATGCTGCAACCCAATCATACAACGTGTTCTAGGGAGAAGGCTTCATGGTTGAATAACGTGTGAGAGCAATACAAACTGGATATAGGCTTCGTCAGAGATTCTGGTGCTATAAATATAGCTTGGTATCACCAAAACTTTCCGGCACTCGGACGACTTGACGCTTCTACTGTCACCAAGTACCCGCCCCCAAGGACCATCTCTCATGGTAGCAGCTTAAGCGACACGAGTAGAAAGAGATGGGAAAGTGTTTTTAGAAAGCCAGTAATCGCGGGGCAAGTTATGGTGTGAGATTCTGTGACCAATGTACTGGGTAGAATTTGTATCAGAGAGGCTTTCGGATCGTGATTTACTGGATCCAAGGAATCTCAAGTGGGGGGTGCAATCATCAGGCTGTATTCTCACAGGTCAGGGAATCTCAGCGCAACTTATGTAAGCGGGATGTCGGTCTCCGAAACCCCACTCAACTGTCCACACCTTTCACTTAACATGGAGATAGATAACCTTCCTCGGCCTCCGATCATTCCGACGCGCTCAGGCAGCACCGTGGTATTCCGACAACATCTCCAGCTCATCATGCCACCCAGACGAGCATGTGATATCTGCTTCAAACGAAAGGTGCAACTCGTTCATCAGCCTCTTGTCACTGCCTCACATAGTGGAGCTCGCTGATGACGGAACTGTTTCCCTAGATCCAATGTGCTATCCCCAGTCCAGGCGTACCTTGCAACTGGTGCAGCCACCAGAATATTGCCTGCACTTTCGAAAGGGAGCCGAAGCACAAGAAACAGGACCCGTAGGTCTCGGGGAGTTTTTAGTATGGCCCTTGTCACAAAGCTCATTATGTGTGTGAAAAAGGGCTACGTCGAATGCAATTCGAGAGCTTCACCGTCGAATTCAACAACTAGAGGGTGATTTGGTCCAAAAAAACACCCATGATCCAGCACAAATTACAAAACCTCGCAGCAACGTTAACATCACATCTCCTGGAACCGAGCAAGTCGAATCGCCCCATTCCCATTACTCGTCCAACAATACCGTCCACTCCTGTGCGTCCGGCTTTCCAACGCCGCTCGTTGTGATAGAAGATGTGTCTGCAGATACCCAGTCACTCTCATCCCGCGGACCGAATTTGGGGATTAACTGGTACTTCAGAGGCTTGCCGATTTTGTCCGAGAGGGGTAGACGATGGATGTCCTCAAGAACTGGACATGAGGTCCTCTTGAATACATTCATGTCATTCAATGACCATGATGACCATGCTCATACCGTGTCGAAATCTGCATCCAGAGCAGGATCAGATATCGATAGTCGGCGACTCAACGAGCTACCGAATAAGTACGCTACTGAGGAGGCCATCCGCACTGTCTATGGATCATATTTTCGATACAGGCTTCCAGTCCTCGATGATACGTTTCTTCACGAAACCGTAACAAAAGCGTACAACCCTCTCAAGAACACAAACGCTGCACGATCTTCACTTTCAGCCAAGGCATGCGTGTGGGCTCTCCATGCCATCTCACGACGAATGAAACCTGCAGGGGACTCTTCCCTGTATCTAGACGGCGAAACGTGTGCCACTAGAGCACAAACCCTCCTCAGCATCGCCATTGAAGAGTCTTGCATTGAGACTCTTCAAGCAGTACTTCTTGTTGTAGGTCAGCTCGATATCTATAGAGTGTCATCAACTGATTTAATCGCAGCAAGCCTATCAAGAATCATCGGGCCAATGGAGAAGCTACAGCTCCCTTCATCTACACGCTTGTCGTATAGTATGCGACCTCGGTGGCCATCACAGTCATCCTGCCATGTACGCATGCATTGACGACCTTCTCCACGAAGAACGCTATCGTTACATCAGAGAACTCTTCTGGCTGTGCTACCTGGCAGATAAGGATGTCTCGTTTCGATCAGGTCGACCTCCACTTCTGACTGAAACCTACTGCGACTTATCTCTGCCCATGGGGCTTGAAGCCTCAAATCCAGCAGAAAGCCAGATTATTCATCTGATGATAGAGTCCAACTTTCACCTGCCTTCCGATCCCCGTTTAGGCGTGATCAAGGAGAAAACATGCCGCCTTCTCTATTCTGCGCAGGCTTTTGGGATGTCCGATAGTCAGCTTTTGGTGCATATTCGTCAGTTGGACGACGAACTTGAACAGTGGAGGGTTTCTGTACCTGGTCCTCTGCGGCCACGACTTTCTATTCCATCAAGCCTCACACTTGGTTCACCCCACGCGAGCATGTCACAAAATGCAAAATACATCAATCTGCAACTGGACTATCACTACACTTTAGTAATGATACACACGTCAGTTCGGAGGTCTGGTACTGCCAAAGGAGACGAGAGTCTACCCGAAGACCTCCACAAGGTTGTTCACTCCAGTGTTGACATCTCGCTGGAAGCCGGCCGCTCGACTTTAGCATTCCTAAAGGCATCTGTTGATGTCTTGGAAGAAGGGGCATTCGGGTACGATCAATCAAATTTCTCGCACTTCATGAGGCACGATTACACGAGCTAGAGATTACTAACGAGGGTCCCTGGACACATCTCATTCTACGTCCCAATAGCCGCTATGGCAATATTTGTCAATGTCCTCATTCATCCCCTAAGTCCAGGACCTCAAAATGATCTGAAGATCCTGATTGAAGCGATCGAGACCATCCAAAGCATACCATTGCGGAGATTGTCTTACGACGAGACCATTTATTTGCAAGAACTCAGCGATTTCATCATGGAACTGTTCAGGCTTGGGAATTCTGCCATCTGGAAGGCTAAAAAATCGGGAGAGAGCCCAGCTTCAGTGGAAGGCATCGAGTCATCGAGTTGATGTGAAGACAATGTTGCAGCATTCCAATTCCGACGATTCTGAGCGCGAAACCCCATGCTTCTGAGATGTCAAGGTGATCAATCAAAGAAGGGGGGGGTCGTCATTCGTCAGATTTCAGTCATAATCGTGAGCATATTCTCAAAATGCCAACTTTGATTCTGGCAGTACGAGATCTAAAGCCCTGGTGGCGTGTTAGGCCGTCAAGGTCAATTATCGAACGAAACAGCGCCCAGCAATAGCAGAAAGAGAGGCAGATGCCAGCCTCTGCTTGGAAGCCTGCGACCCGAAATACGGGAAGCTATCCGTTGCTACTGCCTGGTGTGCTTTACGCACAACTCAAATATGGTACCCAGCTTGGATTCGTCGTGCGGCTTGGTATTGCGCACATTCCCTGTGGATCTATGCACAGCTTAACCTGCTCAAACCCCCTCATCATGCACTGTTTGAGCCACTGACAAGATCGTCCACCGCCGTGGATGAGCTTTGATGCACCCGCCATTACAAATCAAATACTCAAGGGGATCTAATAGGCCAAATGTTATCCATGGGAGGCTGTACATGAAGTTTAAGTGCAACTCACGCGCCATGTCAGCCGCCACACTCTCCGCAGCTGGTAATTCAAGGACTACGACACGTTCTCTGTCCGCTCCGACCTATAGATCATTTCCGTCTCCCATTTCCCACTCGAAAATCGAGAATCGGTCAGCGGTCGCACGCATGTCGTAACATGTCCGTCATGTCTTTGCCCAGCTTAGAGGGCGCCACGAAGAACAACTGGGACTTGAGCACTAGAACTGCTAGCCTTCGACATCGACGATGAACGACTCGAATCGCATTCAGCCCAGTAACGCTAGGGGAATAGACCCGGAAGTCGTGCTGCCATCTCTTGTTCAAAAATTTCCCTTCACACCTCAGCTGGCGCACGCATCTCCATATGGGCGCCCGACGACGCGACATGTCCAGGGCGGTACAAGCCACGAATTTGTACACAAGACTTCTTCCGAGGGCTTGGTCACAAACTCGAGCCATCCTAGTGCACTCAATGCGCCTATCGAACAGCGCGGCCACGATGATTCAGCTCTAGAAGACGAGCCCCATACCACGAAGCCAAAACGGAAGAACGACAATGGATCAGTTCCAAGAGCATCTCGGGAACGGCGAGCCGCTCGCGTTGGCGAATTGGAAGAACGTCTTCGACATGTCAAGGAGGTACATGAAAAAGATGAAGCCGGACGTCAGAAGCGTCTGCACAACCTTAAGCTTGAATTGCAGGCATACAAGTCTAAATGCGAAGTACTGGAGAACCTCCTTCAACGGGAACGACAGGATCGGGTGGATGTGGAGAGAAATATTGGGAATGCACGGGAGAGAGAGAGATCTGTCGGTTGTAGTTCATCACCGTCTGGTTGTGCGAGAAAACATTGACATTCGTGTTCTTCAGCTATGATGATGATCAGTGACGACAGATGTCCTCGTCAACAACGAGGCCCCCAATAATCCTACTCCGTGCCGACCAGTTGTTGAGCTCTCTGTGTGCCAGAAATTACAGGATGCGCAGCTCTCTTGGCCCCCCCCCCCCCCATCATATTGAATTGCGAAGCCCTGCAGATCCCTGGTGATTGCTTCCTGGGTGGCGAGGTTTTGCGCCTGGAAATCCAACCGAGCGATGCGAGCCCGCTCGAGTTGTACAACTGCAGCGGCCATGACCATCTCAAGAAGAACTACAGCAATCACTGTGTTTGACGCATAGACCGGGTATTGGGGGCCCATGTTAGACTCAGCGAATGACGAATCATCGGAGTTATGATGGTAGGACTCATATTGCAAACGTGGCGAGACTTCCAGCTCTGCCATGGGTCGTGCCCAGCCTAGACCTTGCGTCTCGAAAAGCAGACGTTTCTCCGGATTAGAGAGAATCTCATTTGCTCGGATGAGGAGATGATGGCGCTCGATCCGGGCTTCATACCGGACACTGGTCTTGCTTCCGTGAGCGCCGTGAAGATCGGGATGGTACAGTTTGACTAGGAGATGAAATTGCTTCTTTGTGTAAGTTTAAACCCCAATATCTGGTGTGGTGATGGTGTCGGATGCTGCGGCCACGCCGCATCAATGTGGTGGTTTCGACTGGACTGTGTCTTGTAACCTGGGCGACTGTTGTGGGTGCATCGTCGTTGAGGAGTCTGGAACAGGCAATTTGTTACAATGTTTGATCGCGCCATCATGACTGAACGGATTGATGACATGAGTGATGCAAAAGGCTTGAGTGCTGGCAATCGGGCTCGAGTTATGGTAAGGGTTCGTCAGTGCCTTCATTAAACCCAGCTCGAACTCATCCACAGACAAATCATTGTAGAGTACGATGCAATCCAAAGAAAGTAATTTTGATGCCTTATTTGATCTTCGAGCCTTGACACCGGTGCTCCGGCTGCGTACCCGACCCGAAACCGCGCCCGCGGGGTCAATAAGCGCATACTTGCTCAAATTAGACTCCAGAACTGTATCAACAAGGAGTTTCTCACGCCTCCTACAATGTGAGCGGTGAAGCAGCAGCTTCAGATCCTCCATCACGAAACGTGCAATCGGGAGCCGCTCAGTGGCAGTCGCTGACCTCAAAACCGGGTTCGTCTCCGAGCCTCCGGCTTGCAATTATAAGCCTTATCTAGAAGATTGAATTAGCTTCTGCGTGTAGCGTGAGATCATTGCTCCGCTGGTGAAACGGAACTCCCCCAAGTGTTGTAATGTCAGAATGTTCTCTATCTCCCTTGATCTTGTAACTGAGGTCATGATCCATGTGGGCCGCTTGGAACGGTTGCCTGCAACAATATGCCAGGCTGCCATTATCAGCCCACCAGCCGGTCCCCATTTACTAATCAATTGCTCTTCTGGATGGTGGGTTGCACGAATAGGGGAGGGGTATTTCATTCCCCGCCCAGTCGTCACATTGTCATGCCACCTTGCCGCTAACTGCGGTAGTATGAGCAAGTTTCGAACGAACTGATGATTCCTTTGGTCTTGGCCGCAACAACACTGGCCTAAGTATGCTGAATAAGTATGTAGACTAAATAAGCGTTGATTCAGGTGACAAAGGGCCGAATCTTGCAAGTGGTTTGCAGTTCGTCTTCTCAATTTCTAACGGCCATGCATGCGACCTTGAAAGCCGCGGTTGGCGACAGGCTAGTACTCGTCATCGACTTTTCATTTCCGTCACAGCTGTCGGGCTTATCAGTTCAGCATACTCGGGACATCATCGGGATAGGCTCTGGGAATTCGGCGGCGTTGAGGGTTGGAACTCGAACCCCAACGAGGGGGTATACTTTTATGCGAACTACAAAGGGCAGCCCGTGATCCCCTTGATCTGGACTCAGAGGTATGAAGCAAGAAGCTAAGCTCGCCAAAGTGCTGAGTTGTTCTCTGAGCACTAATTCTTCATAGACTTACCGATGCCTCTCTCGCTGTCGCCCTCTTGTCCATTTTCATCATGGTAGCACGGATGGTCATGACATCCTGTGGCCAGATGTCTCGGACTTTCTCGATGCTTTACGATGCTTTCCTTGCCTTCGTCTGGATTTATAGCGTCTCGTTACAGGCATCTGGCGATTTCTCTGACATGGAACATCTAAGCCCTCACCCATGGTACTTGACTCGACATTGCCCCGAACGAGTTGGGGAAGAATGCCATGTTGCGCAGGCTAGCTTTGGGATTTCAATCATCGCTGCCGCCTTCTACAGCGCTCGATTCGCTCCCAGCGCTTTCGAAGTGGCATACAAGCATTGGAACAATCGGCATAACGGGTATCAAATTGTTTCCGTTAAGCTGGATCTTGTAGATGAGGAGGATGAGGCTTCCGATGAAGATACTTACATGAGGGAGAGGCGAAGGTACTTGTGCCACCAAGACGCATTGAGCCCAGTACTTGCATTCTTCCCTGAAAATGTCAGTCAGGCCTCATTACATCGGCGTGGGTCAGTCAAGCCCAGTTTTGTGATGATGGTAAACGTTGATGCGAGGATGCAGCATCAGGAAATCATTTCAAGCAGCCAATGAGGGACGAGTGATACGGGCCAATCCACAGTTTTAATCGATCGTGGTCGATAAGATCACACTAGCCCTTGTCGGAGATTCGGCACGATGCTGACACCAACCAAGGCCTACTTCTCTTGTCATCCTCACTCCCGTGATTCATACATATCATCGAGATGTCGAATGGCTGATGAAATCAGCCTGATTCTGCTCCAGAAGCTCACGTAAAGTAACAAAGATCTGAATCGGTACACCAACCTGTCGTTCCGGTCGTGAGGAGGTGTCTAGGCGGCCCGTCAGCGTCACCCCACTCAGCATTCCGATATGCCCAATACGGGCAAGCCAAGTCGAGACTGTCACCTTTGTCGCCGGCGCCGGGTCAAGGTCCGTACTTAGAATCCGAAGCGCAGCGAGCTTGAGCAACTGACTCACCTCGTCATAGTGTGATCTGGGACGTCCCTCCTGCCAACGATGCATCAAGTATGGCACGGAGTGTCCAGGCTACAGAAACGAACAGGATGTTGTTTTCCGGAATGAGACCTCACACACCATTCGACGAGCGAAACAGCCTGCCTCGCAGCATTCCAGCTCCGAGTCTCCGGAAGGTGATGGGCTGGTCTCTTCAGCAGTCATGATACTTCATGAAAATTCCTCATCGGCCTCAAAAGCCTCTTCTACAGCCCCGTTTGCCCAGAGCCCTTCGGCAATTTCTAGCGCTACCTTTGCCTTGACTCCGACCCTACTCGCGCGAGAGCTCAAAGAACCCTGGAGAACGCATTCTATCCCTCTACTAATCAACTGCTATGCACCTGTTGCATTCTTCTCGGCCATATTCGAGAAGCTTACTTCGCCAGATGAGCCGTTGATCATGGCCACACATCTCTGGGCTCGAGCATATCTCGGCAGTTGCTTCTATGCACCCCAAGACCGCCGGGAGACTGCTTTGCATCTTGGAAACACGCTCAGGTCGGTAGCGCTGGCAATTCAAGACCGTGACAAGGGCACATCAGACAGCACTATTCTTGCCGTGTGGATCCTTGGCATGTACGAGGTCTGATTATTAGAGTCTCACCAAAGCGAACAGGTTGCACTAACACTGTTCCTAGCTTCAAATAGGCGGCATCTCGGGTCAAAGCTCGCGGAAGTCTGCTTGGCATGTACACTTAGAAGGTCTCTTGAGTCTTCTGCGGGCTCGCGGCAAGGCACAGTTCTACACTCCCTTCGGCCGTTATATATTCTGGTGTGTATTTATGACGCTGGTGAGTGGAACTCTTGGAATTTGCTCCGATGAGTGTTGATCTCTCCTCCAGCAAACGGGCTGCCTTATGGCCAACGAAGCCTGCCCCCCAGAATCAGACGAATGGGTCGGCCTTCTTGAAGACACGAGAGACCCAGACGAGGGCTGGTCACTTCTGGTTTGCAGGTACATCTGCAAAGCGTGCTCGCTCATTTGTACAATCTTCCCTATTGTGTGCGAAGGGCTATTCGATGAGGCGCGGCAACACTATCACTCCCTTCTCGAGCAGGTCTCTGCCCTTGAACATGAGTGCCTTCGCTGGATGGCCCAGGCCGCGCCGGAAGAGCTCGCGCCTTCGTCACACACCCACTTCTTCTGGAATATTTGGAGAAGTGCCCGACTGAAACTGCATAACCTCTTCTTTATGCTGGCAAACCTTGTGCTACACACTCCCACGGATCGAATCTCACAATCGACGGAGATATTCGACAGCTTCATACTGGAAGCGACCAAAGGCAGATGTCTTGCCATAGTCGCCACGGCTGGTCAAGAAACAATCGACTCGATACCTGTCTCTCTTGGTGGCAGGTCTCCCGAATTTGCGACGGCGACCTACGCGTCATGGTTTGAGGGCATGTCGCAGATCTCACCACTGAGCCACGTGTACACGACACGAACTGTGCCAAAACACTTGCGGAATACGGCGCGGCTCGCTCTCTTGGCGATCGGCAAAGAGAGAGGTATCCTTCAAGCTTTCAAGACGCGGCCTGGTGCCGTGCAGTATGCGGCGGAGGCTACTGTGGGTATCTCGCTCGATGACACGATGGAGAGCGTTACTGAAGTCACCTGATTATCGGTCGCGATTTGTATGGATCGAGGACCGCCTGGCGGGAAACCATCTCAAAGTATTAGCAACTTATTTTCACTTGGCTGCACGTCACTTCACGGATTGAGGAAAGACAGCGCGAGCGTGAACGAATTATGTTTAATAAAAATATATGTACGTGAAGTTAGTTAAGTCATGACTTTTCGTTCGCAATTATTTTTTCAAGGAAGAGCCTCGCGAGCGAGGGCAAGGTTCTGGATCGTGGCCAGACCGTACTGAGAAAAGTCGTTGGTGCTGACGAAGGCGGCCTCATCAATGGGGTGCAGGACGGCGCTGCCCTCGAGTCTGACGCTGGCCCAAGGGGCGTTGGCGCGCAGGCCATCGCGGTTGTACTCGGCCCAGGCGCGCGTGGCGAGGCTCGAGTTGTCCGTCTTGTGGGAGGCATAGGCCGTCAGGCGAGAGTGAGCCTGGACAAGGTTGCCGCGGCCAAAGTTGGTACCGTAGCGGGCAGCCTGCTCGGCGTTGCTGGCGCTATAGTAGTAGCAGTAGTCGAGCCATGCCTGCTCGAAACCCTCGGGAGCGTCAGAGCCCCAGTGGTCCGTTAGCTCGGCCATGACCTCAACGAGACCAAAGACGGAAGAAAGATGAGAGATGGCGACGTTGCCGCTGTTGTCGGGGTCGGCGGGAGGGGGGCTGAGATCGCCGTTCGTGGGGTTGTAGATGGCAGAGCCGGAGACGAAGCCGTTCTTCAGGCCGGCGATGCCGGAGGCGACCTTGGTGAGCTTGGTCAGGGCCTCCTCGTAGCGAGGACCGCGGCGCTCCCACTCAACAAGCCACCCAGCGGCCAAGCCGGAGAAGTCAGTGCCAAGACCAATGGGCGCCGCAGTCTCGGTGGGCTTGACGCCGTCACCACGAACCTTGCGGTTAGGGTCGAGCTTGGCGTAGGTCTGATCGACATCCAGAGTCTCCTCGAGGATTTCGCCGATACGCTCGTCTCCGCCCGAGACATAGTAGAAGTACTTCCTGTACTGAGCCGTCGAGATACGGGCCTGCTTGGCGCTGTCGCCGAAGTGCTGGATGCCGTGGCGGGTGCCGAGACCCTTGAGAGGTCCAATGTGATAGACATCAACTTCGCCGGTGTGGCGGGTCATGGCCTCGGCGAAGCGGTAGACGTCCTCACGGCCGGTGCGGAGGAACTGGAGCCAAATAAAGAGATCGGGGGACAGCTCAGAGTTATCCCAGGCGTAGCCGCCAATGTCATAACGCCACTGGTGACGGTCAACGTCGTAGGTGTGCATGACATCACCATAGTCAAGGAAACCGTACCACCTACGCTGCTCGACCTGCTTGAAGTAGAAGTCGAGGAGGAAGTCAAGGTGGCCCTCAAGAACGGCGGCAGACGGCGACGAAGTGTCGGGCAGACCCCAGTAGGAGCCGACAGCCCCAGACTCGTGGAATGTCTCGGGCTTAGGGACCAGGACGGGGGGGTTGTTGATGTAGGTAGTGAGGTCAGATAGCTCGTCGCGAGAAGGAGTGGACTCGAAGCCGAAGAGGAAGACCTCGCTGGACCTAGCAATACCGTAAGGGGTATCGAGGTCCTGCTCCCAATCCTCGTAGGTAATCTCAAGAGCATCGAGCTGCTTCGCGTACGTGTCCAGACCGAGGCCGTCGTGGTAGGGCCGCAGGTCAAGAGGGGATCCTTCGGGGCTGTAGAGCCAGAGGGTGATCTCTCCTTCATCAGCAGCAGCGTTGCGGATATCGAGACCAGTGGGGTGGCGCTTCCAGAAATCGCGGAGGCCGATGGCAAGACCACCAGCGGTGGCGCCGCCGAGATACGCGAGACCTCCGGAACGAGTGGCGCCGGGGATAGTGACCCAGCTCTGGCCGGCTTTGGTCCTCTTCCTCAGGGTGAAACCGTCAGGCGACAGCTGTGACAGGCTGAAGTCGTTCCACTCGGGGATCCACTGCATCCTTGAAGAGACACGAGTGTCCCAGGTGCCAATGTCGGGAGTCTTCTGGCCCTCAAACTGGGCAGTACGCACGGTGGCGCCAGGGTCACGGCGGAGACCGGTGATACCCCTGACAGCCTCGCTCAGAAGGCCGCCATCGGGGCCAGCAAGCCTAACGTGGCGGTTGTACACCTCTTCGCCCTTGAGGGGCACCTGGAAGCGGATGCCGAGACCACTGATAAAGTCCTTGTCGGTCTTGCCGTCGTAGATGACGGTGTGGACGAGGCGAATGGCCTCGGAGTCGGCGTAAAGGTAGAAACGCAGGACAAAAGGCAGCCAGTCGACGTGGCTATCTCCGCTGCTGGCCTTGTGGGCGCCACGAACGGTGACGAGGGTGCGAACCGTGTTATCCTCGCTGACGGTTACATTGTGAATGTCGCTCTCGAAGTTGTGGTAGTCAATGGCGGTCTTGCCACGGTCCTGAGCGTCTTCGTTGACGGCGGACTGGGAGTGTAGCACGAGCTTGCCGTTGCGTCCGACAGTGTTGCCGTTGGCGGTTTCGATGCTGCTGATGATGGAGCTACCCTTCTTAGGGAAGGAGACGGCGATCTTGCCCGTGTCAACGTCAACGCTGTCGTCCGATTCGGACACGGTCAGGGCTGTAGCCTGGGCAGCCCTCTTGGCACGCCTCGCGCATGTCGAGTTACTGGCGGGGAATCCGGAGGCCGTAACGATATACTCGCTGGACGGGCTTTCGGAGGCGGCGATGGCGTGGCCACTCCACTTGATGGAACCATCGGGCCAGTAGGCATTGACCCAGGACTCGAGAGGCAGACTCTCGCCGCTGCCACCGGAGATGGTGAAGTCGGTCTTCTTGGCGTCGTACTTGCCCTTGGGCCAGGGCAGGCCGAAGGTGGTGCCAATGGTATGGTTGGGGGCGTTGCCGAGCCAGTGGACGCTGACAGTCTCGGAGGTGATGTTGGCCGGTGCCGATGCTCCCGAGCCCAGGAGG